GTACGGAGAACACAATAAATCTGTAATTATACTGTAAGCTCAGAAGAGATCGAAACACGATGTTCAAAATACTAAAGATTGTTATGGACCTGATCTACCTTCAGGACATCTCATAGGACATAACATGAGAGTTCGAAATTCATGGACGAACTATATAGTTATGAAGTGCTGTTTCTTGCATCGAGTCATTATCTCTTGAACCCAATTCCAGGAAGGAACGATTAATGCTCTTTCAACACACTCGTTCACAAAGTGAACAGACAAGCATAGATTCTCGATAAAAAAGGATTAATATGGGCTCAAAACCTTCTACCCTCAATCGCGAATCCCTACCATCCGGGATGAAACTTTGTTTTTAGATATCTAGTTATAAAATCAATACGAATTTCTATTCCTAAACTATTCCACAAATTCTAAATCGTAGTTATTAAAGTTAATGGAAGCACTTTAAATGACCAACATGCATCTTAGTGTGTTCTACAGGTGATGACGACAGTAGTAAGTCAAATAATCCCAACAGTAGGTTTTAATAATACGGTGTTTGAGAATAATAACACAATAATTAATTCCATATGTTTCAAGATTCATACCAATATATATGAACATAAGAGTTAATTAAAAGCAAGATTAAAAATTACAAACATCATTACTAACATACATTAAGAATCGAATAACACAACAAAAAAGGAAAAATAAGATGATGAAAATATTTAATACAGCACAGTGGGGATCTGTCGGTAGATTTTTAATAATTTCATTGCTATTTCTACCAACTTGTAATACCACAAAGTGTAGTTTGAAATCGATTTAGTTTACCAGAAAACGTCAGTCTCCTTTAAACATAACAGGCATATTTTTAACGAAATTCCTTAAAATGATGTAACAAGCCGTCATACACTGAAAACTGTTTGCTTCTTCCTTTGGATGCTCCACTTACTTTTGACAGTGAATATCAGAAGAAAATTCAAGTATTGAGAGAATGAATGCTTATTTTGAGTCAGATGTAAGTTGGAATGGAAAACTGGTTTAAAATAAAATGCTTGCCGGGTGGATGTTTCATCTTAATCTAGGGCTCTTTAGCAGTGTATCTGTGACATACTGTACCCGCAACCACCAGGACACACGGGCTAGAACTTTACCACTTAGTCAATAGTTTGAGGGCAAATAACTCAATATCACAAACTGGTAGACTGTGGAAGCTGATGGTTATTCATCTTATGTTGATCCAGTTCGCAAAAACAAACGACTTAAAAAGAAAACTGCCTATCTATTTGAATCGAACATGAACAGAGTAACTGGTTAGTTCCCTTTCAACCGATATCCAGTATGCCTAATTTCGGAAAACTCGAATACCTCAACACCGAAGATATAACAGAGAAGACAATTATATATATATATATATATATATATAATATTTAGGCGAAGTTAAAGTATCATGGCCAAAGCCAAGGTCTTTCAAAAGTTCACCTTCAAGAACCAGTCAGATATAGGGAATGCTATGAAAAGTCATTCCAGATCAAATCATGACTGCCTTTTCAGACTTGGATAAGATACATAGAGTATTCCACTTATTCTCTAGGTACTTTTGCTGTAAGTCTATACAGTTAGCTAGGGTTATGGCTTTTTAGATAAAGGTTTAGGATCTAGGGTTAAGGTTAGGATTAGGGTAAATTTACGAGTTAGAATTATGGTTAGAGTTAGGAGAATATTAAAGAACAGTGTCAGAAATGCCAATGGATTTCAAAGTGCCATGACCTATAGTCACCTGGATGAATTCATCTATCGTTTATAGTATGATTCTTTCATAGAACATCTTCGTAGTGACTGGGAAACATTCTCATAACACATAATTGACGACTATATAGTAAAATATCATGTTTGCAATGTTTTTCAGTGCTTTTTTCAACGATAATGCGACTTTTTTGCATCTGAATTCTGATTGGTTGTCCAAGGTCATTGTGGTTTCCGCTATGATAGTTTAACTTTGTCAATATTTATTATGAAAACTCAAGTAATCTCTTTATTTCAAAAAAGATACTTCAGATGTGAATAAAATAGTCCAGTATAGAAACTAAAGTTTAAGTAAAGATTTCACTATTGGCGACAATAAGCGTTTATATTATAATAATAAAGATCGAAATATCAGATAAACAACTGAGTAGAATTTTATTACAATTATTATTAATTTCCGTACACAATTGTAGATAAATGTACACAAGGAGACATATCTGGAGCATGGGGAAATCAAGCATAGTTGACAACATACTCATCTGACTTTATTATCAGGCATACACTCATAGTTGGAAAAGTATGTTGTATAAATATACATCCTTATTTATCGCTACACATTGAAACAAACTTATCACAAGACTGATCTAAGAATAAAACACATGATAGAAATAGTCATCTGTGAACAGAAAAAAATTTATTATAGCTCCTGTTATTGAGTGAAATTCACGCCTACCTAGTGAATTTAAAGTCATACCGTTTTTAAAAAAAAAGTCGGTAATAATTGTTTTATTTTAATACATTAGAATATCAAGGATGGTTTACATGTTAATAGTATACCTCTTAAGTTTGTTATTTTTATATTTTTGCATTATTGAACTCAGGGATTAAATTTAGTGGATGATGACTAACAGATGCACAGTTCGTCCTGCTTGGGACTCGTCAGCTGAATATACCTGCAGCATTCCCACTGAAACTCGAACACAGTACCCATCGCTTCAGACGCAAAAGAGTGACTATCCGTCCCCTCTGTCATTTTACACATAAAATATCCCTTTTAGGCACACCATCTAAAGATCAATGGTGATTTCTGATATTTAATGCAGTATGCTGCAGTGTGACTTTATAACAGCACGAGAAATGTCCTCCTACTCTCAAAAATAATATTTTCTAAGAGATGAACCCTTAAAAGCTATATGGATATGGAAATTTAAAAAATGCTAGCATGAAAATCGGCATCTTGAAGTACTCACTGTCTGTTTTGTCTAAATATAGAGCAAATAAAGTATGAACCTTATAGTAAATTGATAAAATTAAGTGTTAAAATGTTTGTTTTGTGAAACTAATGTTTCTTTCTACAGTGTCTCTAGTGTTTTCTGATAAATACCACTAAGGCAGAACAAAAAGCGCTCAGTTTTTATTGCTATAAGGCATATACCGACGCGCAAACATTTTAAGAGTAAAAATGGTAGTAAAGCAGCGAAAACAACTATACTTTCGTTTCGTTTTCCTCGTGACTTGTTACCATGGTGAAGATTACAGAAAATCATTATAATTCTAATCTATCTACAGCAAACAATGATCATATTTATTTATGATTGTCCACCACCACCACCTATCTAGCTCATTTATTGACTGATAGTGAAAAGTTTTCATTGTTGTTGATTTTGATCAATATAGTTAAGCGTTTTCTTATTAAAAACACGGTTAGACTTTCCTGGATTAATGAAATTTATACGACTATAAGATAAGAACGGTTGAAAAGGAATATTTCGACGATTCACATAAGTAGTGTGTACTCTAAAATAGCAACGCAGTCAACACAATCATTGGTCTTAACATCATCATAAAAATCTCATAAGCTTAAATGGAATTAACTTATTTGAAAATTCTACTATTCATATGCACTAGTAAACCGGTGGCTCAATGGTATTATATTCACCCAACAAGGCATCTGGTCCGGATTAGATTCTCAACCGACGCACTCCTAACCTTCACTTAGCCATTAGCAGGTCAAATAACGAGAGGAGGCTGGGCGTGAGGTTAGCAAACCCACCCCGTAAAAATATAACACCAGCGCTACTGAAACTTTAAAGCTCAAGCTTGAAGCGCCCTACACTCCACTCGTAACGCAAAGGAATGCGAAAGAAAGTAATCCTATAGAAAGTGATTTCAACAAAGTTTACACTGAAAAGATTTCTACAAACGTTTATTTATTTCTGACTTCCAACAAGAATTAAAATAATCGACGGAGTCGGTTTAGCGGACTAATGGTCAAAAAATCAAACTGTTTGATTTATGCGCTTAAAACTTAATTCTGTTATCTGAGCTGAGCTAAAAAAATAATAGTGAAACAGCCTGTCTAAAATGTTTTACTTGATTAAATGTACAGATCAACATGTCTCCTTTTTCTTCCAACTATCCAAGTCAATCACAAAAAAGACATATTTACGGAAAAAGTGAGATATTTATGTTAACAGCACGAAAAAAAACAGAACTGTTCAAATTACGATTGGCATCAGACATAATATCCAAGATGGAAACAAATTGTACAGATATAATTCTGAATCAATAATAGGAAAAAACAAACTAAACTTTTCGCCCAACTAGTCAGCAAATTTTCAAGTAAATGTTGAATTTAGATTAAGGGTTTTTTATACGAATTTAGATTAATTTCAATGTATATTTCGTCGTAAACCAACGTCAGTTAGAGATTATTCAGAAAATCAGAAAGCACTGGACAACAGCTTTGTACTAATTTGGCACTCTTCATCAGTGAGCACCCACGACTCACTAGGGATCATTAATTTATGGGAGTTGGTGTAGCAGATAGCTGTTTCGTCCTAGTTTGGGACTCATCATCAGTACGCTGCAGACAAACTCTTGAAAATAAACCAAGGCTCGCTAGTAATTGGCTGCAGGGGGAAGTCTCCTGGAGTTCTGGTGAGAAATCATGACCAGTGGGGTCCACTCGTTCGGGAGTTGGGACAAATACTCGCAGATGACATTTGATGGTGGTCACACTAAAATCACGAATTGTTAGAAGTTAGGATTCATAGGCTGGCCATTGATTCATGTCCCAGTGGCTGAATAGTCTACGAGCTTACCTTGTAACCAGAAGGTCTTGGGATCGAACACCAGAGGGTTGCGTACTACTGGACAGTCCCAAACTAGGAAGAAACGGCTGTCCAGTACTCGCTGGTTTTCAATGTTCCTCTAACTGAATGGGAGTTACAATTGCAATTACAAGTATACAAAATTAACAAACCTACTTGGCTATAATTAATGGCAGGCCAGTCAATACATTGTTTCCATTTGAATCAGTAGTTATTTTAATTGAAAAGTAATCCCAAAGCATTGGTGCATGTTTCATCAAAGTAGTACTCGCTTCTTGAATAAACTCTGACCGACTAAGATTAGCTAGTGATCGTGATGACTTTCGAAGGTATTCATGCCCAATCGACAAAAGATCTGATAATAATGCTGGTTCACGTAAAATTATCTAAAAACAAAACACAATGTGATAGAAAAATTAGAGATATTTGGAAGAATTTATTAAAAAAGAAAATAGAGGAAGTCAAAGAATACAGAAGAAAATTTTCTGTGAAAATTAGCAAAATTGCAGTAAACCATAAGAAGAATTAGGGATCTAATGCAATTAATATTGATTGCATTTCATTACTTCATCGATTTTCACGATTAAGTCAACAACTCCCGAGTGAAATCTAAAATCGAACATCCTTGATTAAAGAAAATTTCCTTTTCACAGTAGTGTTATTTTTATTATTTAGTTTATTATTTTGCGTTCTTAGTGGAAAACAGGGCTTCAAGATTGAGCTTCTAAGTTTCAGTAGCAGCGGATTTATATTTAGGGGTGGGATTGGTAGTCTCACGCCCAGCCTTCCCTCTCTGTAGGGCTTACAACTGGCTGGAGGAGGTAATGGCGTGCGCCGGCCAGGAATCGAACCCTAGACTACGTGCATGGTTAGCGAGTATTCTACTGTTGAACCACCGAGGCACTATTCGGATAGATAATGACAAGAAGTTTAATACTTACATTACAATTTAAATGATATTTAAGTGCAATAAGTTTCATAGAAATTATATATGAATTACAAACTGATTATGAAAGCAAAGACGATTAAAGGTTAGAGGAGAGTACAATAGGCATATGCGTGAATGAATGAATTATTATTATTCCCTTGGGTTCCAAGCGGAATATAGGGCTTCAACAACACATCTCCATTTTGTCCTATTCCCTACAGTTTTCTTTAGCTTACCCAACGATTCCCCATAGGCTCTCACCTCCTCCTCACACAATATCGAACATATCACCCTCGGAGCCACGTTCGACTTGACGATTCCCATTCAAGTTCCACTCGAGAGATAGTCTGGTGCACGATGTCACCCGATGGTCTCCTCAGTATATGTCCGTTCCATATCTCTTGGTCAATGCGTTGGTGATTGTTTCGTTACCGGAGTTCGTTGTTGCTAATCCTTTCTCATCGTCCATCTGACCCTCAGTACGGAACCAAGACAGCTATTGATAAGAGTGTATAGCCTGTTCGAAAGGCTTTTCATGATATGTCAATTCTCTGATTCATATAACGGAACTGACTCCACATTTGCAGTAGAAATTCAAGTCTTGTTCTTTATGAGGAGTGCAGTAGATTTCCCCGCCAGCTTCAGATTAATGGGGGTTTGCCTTGTCTTTCCAACTCTGCTCTTCCCATCCTCATCTGTGCAGCCTGTAGTTGAACCAGTGCAGTGAAGGGAGTGACCTCTCTCAGATTTATTACATTGAGTGGTGCTTAGTGTCGTTGGTTGGTCACTTTCCTCACCTCCGTCTTCTCTGTGTTCACTTGAAGTTCTGTCTTTGCTGCTTCTGCTAGCAAGTTGTTGCTTCTCACCTGCAGATCTTGAACTTTGTGCGACATTAGACATAAATCGCTCGTGAAGTCCAGATTTTCTAGATTCTTCTTATCAGCCTGTCGTATTTCTGTCTTCTCGTTCCCCATAGTCTACGGTATAATTCAGTCCACCAGAGTTAGGAACATCAACGGTGATAGTAGGCAGCCAGCCTTGTCTTACTCCAGTCTTCACTTCAAAGGCTTCTTCACTGACTTTTCCGTTGTGGGTCACTTTACATGTGGTGCTATCTTATAACACGTCATAGTGTCGAAATAGTTTCCAAATCGCTTCGCGCTTAAATGAATGAATAAACTGCTAATTTTATTTCAGCAAACAGACGGCAGAACTCCTAAAATACTTAAAGAAACTAATCTGCAATTTTGTAATGTATTTGAATGTATTAATTATATTAAAGCATCTTTATCATATGGCAAACCATGTTTTAACTAAGGTGTATACTTTTGCTGTTCATTAATGTTTTCCTTATAGTTGAAACAGTCAGTGTATGCGCTACACACGTACTTTTTAAACTAAGCAATTTCAGTAATATACAAGAGGGAAAACATCCATTCAACTGCAAACCGATTGTAAGATGTAAATTAAACTTTAGTCTAATTGTAACAGCAGAATGCAAGACACGGACGCCAAGGTAAATTTTCAAGTGATCAAACGGCTGTTTATACATATACAGTTTATATTCTTTAACCAATCACTGAGTGTGTGATTTTGGTTTACATTAAACGATATGAAATAGAATGTTCAAACACATATATTATTCTGTTACCGATGCAGCATTGAACTGTGGGAATGGTATTCAGAGGTTAGCACCAACATATACAATGATTCCTCCGGTGGGAATAATATTCCGTTGGAACCCATTGTCTATATCACACCACCACATAATTACTATTTAACAGTTTCGAATTACATTCTTAGATGTTACTAACATTATTAGGCGGTTTTCATCAATAAGGACTAAGTGTAGCTGCCACATCGTAATTGGATAATGTTCACCAATGCACATACGCGCATAAATAAACACATCTTAGTGTGAGACCGAATTTAGAACTGTCATATTTCTAGTATATGTGTATCATTTGAAACGTGTCAGTACTGATTGGTTTTCAATCATCCTCCGACTTCTGTCAGTTCATAATGAAAAATATCTTCAGATAAAGATAAATTAATTCTTCAAAAACCTCCTAACTTCTCACCAAAGATTATTTAATTAGTTAAAAACTTAGAGAATATACGGCATATTATCATTTGATGTAATATACTCCCTGATTGAGAACAATTGCTATTTAGTTTTAAACACGATAAGCTAAATTCAGAAATTTGCATTAAGCTATATGTACACAGTTTATGTAGCAAATATAAATCTTATATATGTATATATATATATATATATATGTCTGATAAAGTGAACTGCTAATGGTTAGTAGTAAGATAAAGCTGAGTCTGAACTAAGGTACCTAGAACAAACTTTGGTGTATCCGAAGATGAGCCATACTCATCATATGAGGGCCGATGTTACTACCCTGTCACCCAGGCTGAAATAGGTGGGATGGGATTCGAAACTAGTATCCACTTGCTGAAAGTCGAATGTTTATGCCAATGTACCACATCTCAACCATGACTGTGTGTTGTAGACTGGAAATATTTCCTAATAAATTCTCATGACTTTATATAATGACCTCCAATCTTAACAGATCTATGTAATTTTTTACTTTTCTGATAATGTATAAAAGAAATTCTAAAAACGATTTCAAATCCAACATGCTGAGAAGTAGTTATTCAACTTAAGGAAGGTAGAGAAGTTACTCGAAGATAAATATCGATACTAATTCCATCAGTAAAAGTGTAACGAATGAACCATAGGAAAGTATAAGTTAGAGATCAATGACAGCTAATGTTTAAAGCTACTGAAAAAAACTGAACAAAACTACCTAACTTTCATCTTCTTTTTTATATCTTAGGTAGTCTTATCACAATAAAAAAGTACTTATTATCATTGAGACTTGACTTCCTCCCTCCCGACCGAAAGCTGCTACCTTGACGTGGTGGTCGGGCTTGAACACCGAAATGACCCAACAAGCTATACTGGCTGGAACTTATGTTCCTGTAGGTCCTACCATGCCAGAAAGGTTGTTTGGATAGCGGTTAGACAAAAAGCAGTTACCCAACCCAATGCTATGACTCAAAGTAAATCACAAAATATCATGCCGGATCGGTCGGGGCCCGGATTAACAACGACCGCGCTTCCTGCTGCCGTGTCACAGGGCAGAAGTGATAAATGTGCTACTGAGACACACCAAATGAAAAACAACAAACAAAAGCAGGCCGTGTGTGACCGGCCTCAAGCAGTTGTCCCCTGGGCTCTGCGGTCACGCAACCAACTTCCACGGTGTGGGCAGCCGGGAAGTAAAAATCGCCCTCACAATCCAAAGTGCACGCGAAACCTCTCTAATCCTCACTCACCTTTGTCTTCATCTTCATCTCTATTATCTTGCCTTCCTTCAACTAATGCATCTCCTCTACTTAATGGCTCTTCACTTCCTCTTCACTCTGTGTGCACTGAAAACGACGGAAGCGAAAAAAAACTTCCTCCCTATTCAAAAAAGTGATATTTAAAAGTGAAGCATCAAGACTTGGTATCTCAAAATGACGGTTACTGTAGTCCAGCGACATCATCTAAAAGGACTCAAGTTGCACAAAATATGCGTCACGTATTCCAATATAAGTCAATACCAAATAAACAGTATCACTTTCACAGAATGTCAAAAAACTGGTGAATTTAAGGCATTTGAAAGCACAGATTAATGAATAAAGAATAGTCTTTTCCTTTTCCCGTCCCACAGCCACATATTCATATTAATTAAAACATGAAACTGTGTATACTAACTACAAAAGGGTATTGTTTTTTTATAATAACGAATTCTGAAGTTCAATTCCGATTGAAATAGGAACATCTATACAATCTTCTTCTTCTTCTTGAGGAATAACAACGTTCAAATACAAATACAGTCGTAAAATTCAATCTGAAGTAAATGCGTGTCACAGTTTATTAACTGTAACATGAGATTGTCAAGGTGATACTATTCGAACATTTTATATACATAGAGTGAATCACTAATCTGACAACTACTGAGGTTATATATAAGGATAGTTTTTGTATTCAACCAACAGCAACAGAAATAGCGGTTGTGTATATTAAGTGAAACTGAATGAACAAAAGAAGGATAAAAGGAATAATACATCTGAAAATCATTTGTAAATATACAAGCGTGTGAAATTCATCGAATGCGATAAAGCAATGTAGGCTACAGAAATGTGTGTGCAGACATTATGTAAGTCCAAAAATAATGGAATCTATGTATGCAATAAGTCAGAATTTTATTATTTCAAAATGTGATAGTGATAAAGTTTGTACGCATTTCTTCTAGACGCATCATTTGTGCAGTTTTATAACAATTCCTGTCACTTCTACTGCTTGAGAAACTAAAGGTCTAGCTGCTTTAAGCATGTTGGAAAGGATACAGTTAGTAATCTGGAATGACGTAAGACATCATCATTTTGAACCAAATGGGTCAGTGTACAGCTGTTTACTGATCTTTGTGACACTTTTATTTAACCACAACACTGGAAAATATTCGAGAGCAGTAAGCATTTGTTTTCCATAAAATAACCACAATGAGAGGCATCGCATAGGCAGTAAAAATGACCAGTACAACAAGAAATTCCTCATTATTGACCCATTTAATTTTCTTGAAGGAAGAACGTCTAGAGACAAGGTGTTTTATTCCCTAACTAATGCTCACATACTAATACTTCATTAAACTTAATGAGTAACTCGACTGTTTTTTATTGTTTTTTTGTAGCGGATATGTTTTCAATAGACGGATCGACTGTAAATTGTAAATTTTCCAATGTAATTGGCGAAAGTGAGTCGGTGGCACAGTGGTTAGGACTCTTGCCAACCATGCACATGGTCCGGGGTTCGATCCCCGGCCACCAACGCACTCCTTTACCTGGCTAACTCAGAAATAAAAAAGCTGGTAAAGAGGAAAGGTTGGGCATGAGGCTAGCAACCCTATCCTGCTACAGAAACTTCAGGCCTCCAGCTTGAAGCCTTATGTTCCACTGGGAACGTGAAGGAATAATTGGTGAGAGAACTCTCTTCTAGTTTAATTAGGAAAATAACTACTAACATGGGACACAGCAGTGTGTCGATTTCAACCGGCTCTCTCCCTCCTAATATATAAAACATTTATGATACATTTTAGCAATAAACATGTAAGCACAGTTGATGAAGTCTCATTACTTACAGGTTTTGTCATTCATTTGCTCATATATGTGTATATCTGACAATCTTTTGACAATATTAACAATTCCAATTGCCTTTAGAAATTAGGGAAAAAACATATTTGACACTGAACAATTCTAGCTGTGACAAATTATCGTAACGTCTGTTTGTCTGAGCTTAATTATCACCCGGATGAGAGCTTTTGTGTTCCAGGCTAAGAAGCACACAAATACTGCGTAAGGGAGGGATGGCTTACTCTATCCAGCTGTTCAAGGAGAACAGACACACCATTCTGTATGTCAAGCATACGTTTCTAACAGTACATTTGATTTATGAGTTTTATGCAAACCACATAAAATAATTCATATATATATATATATAACTAATGAATCTACGGTGGATATTGTTAGAAAGAATATTAACCAGTCCTTTTTTACTATGGGAATCTTAGATGTTTTAGTACTTTTTTAAACAACTGTTCAATATTGCTTATCAGGAGGATAAATCATTCAAAAGAGCACATCACGATAACACTGGGAAAAATTCATCATTTCAAAAATAATACATAAAACAACTGAAAGTAAACGGTATATTGCTAAGTTATTCAAAAGACATAAGATTATGAGTAAACTAGTATTTGGACATATTTATTCTAATGCATTTCAATAGCCTAATAACATATCGGCGAATTTCAGGCAATAAAAATCACTAAACACAGAGGTTAATGATGCAGCGTGTAATTCGTGCCACCGACGCACGAATAAGTTACGTATTTCATCACGTTTTTCTTATGCCTTCACGTTTTCAAGCTAGAGCTTCAGAGTTTTGATAGCAGTGGTTTTATTTTTACAGGGTGGGGATGCTAGCCTCACGCCCTACTCCCCGCTCTTTACTGGCCTTACTACCGGCTAAGCGAGGTTTAGGAGTGCGTCGACCGGAGATCGAACCCCGGACCACATGGGTAGTCGGAGAGCATTCTACCGCTGTGCCACCGACGCACTTAAACAATACAATAATTTAGAAGTGCAAATAACTTTCAACATAGTTATAATTTATTAGAACTGTGTAGCTTACCTCTCCATGATTGGCGAAATTCACCAACAATAATTGATAGAATAATGCTTGAGTCAACGGTTTCAAACGGATAAGTAATAATTCTGTATTATGCTGAGCTAAACATCTTGTTTCATCAATGAAACCAATAAATTTACACGAGCGTAATACCGCTTTTATTGACTTGTCTAAATCACCTTCTAAATTACGCTTCAGTGCAAGAATACTCATCAGATATACTTTACGATGTCGTGTCTTTGACAATGATGATGATGATGATGATAGGAAGGAATCATTGGGATCATTTTTTAAGGAAGATGATGTTGGATTTGATGTAATCAGTAAACTTTTAAAATCAATGGAATTAGTATCTTGTGAAGATGAAGAAATCCGATTTGATTTTATTATTGGTTTGGCTGTCAGGCTGGCATCACTGTCATTCACAACGTAATCGATATCATTGGTAGTGTTCAGATTTACTTGATTCTCAGTGGTATTTTGTGTAGAATTACTTGGTAGACTACTGTCTGTTTCATTTTCTGATTGATCATACAATCCAGACTGTACAGTTGATCTGAAGGTGGATAAATAAACAAATTAAATCCCCAAAGATTCTCTATCTAATTGTGTCTATAAAATAAAATACTTGGAATGTGATGCGATATACATCAGACAAACATCACCAGAGAGAAATCAAAATAAGAAGAAATGAACACCGTAGAGCATCTCTTCGACCACCGAGAAATCCTGTTGAACTACAAAAACTTGAAAAATCATCAGCCACAGGTCTACATGCTATAGAATCAGGTCACAAAATTGATTTTGACAATATTGAAATAATCCAGAAAAACTTCAGAAATCACAAAGAACGTCTAATATCAGAAGCACTTCATATCAAGTGGAATCCAAATTGTCTGAACTGAATAGGAATGATGGACTAAAACAGAATCTGACCTGGTTACAACACCTCCCTCCCCCATGAAGTGACAAAATTAACACGAATGTGATAAGCAAGTTCACTATGTAAACACACACTTTTATAATTTTACACACCGATCAAATCCAACAATCCACACATGATTTTGTTATCTTTACCAATTGACCAACTTGACAACTAAAAATGCCCCCAGACAGACGAACGATGATCAAGTTAGTAAAATTTATTTTGATATGATAACAGACATACTATTACCTTTGTTATTTGGTTTAGTTATCTTCAGTGCTATTTTTACTTTCAATATGTCCCTTTAACTTGACCTATGTCTATTTTCTCACCCCCTAACTGTTTGTTATATATATGCTGAGATTTTGTAAATTCTGGTTTAATAATACTTTGGTAACGTTATTAGCAGCATTAAATAGCGAAACGTCAGTAAAAACAATATCGTTTTGTTTTTCATTCATTGGGAAATACAAAAACCTTTATTATAACGAATATCATATACCCAATGCCCAAATTTTTTCAAACCGTTAAAAGTGAACGTGGTTTGGACATATATAAAATTAAATGAAGCATAAATGCAAAGATGAAACCTTCAATTACTATTCTCCTAATGATCTCTTTATAATGAAGTTAAAAATGACACTTAATTGGCATTAAACTCCTTTATCTGCATGGAAGGAGAAATGAAACTGAAATCAGAAAAGGCCTCATAAACATCGAGCAATTTACTTTTAATAAGATTAATATGTGTACACCTCAGGTGTCAATTGCTGATACTCTATAAGCCCCTGTCCATGTTTAGCTCAACATTCGAGGTAGTAGTATGCAAGATGCGTCGCATATGCCAGTTTACGTCGTCTCTAGCGTAGACGCGAGGTCCGACTATGGACCAAAGGGCGTGTGTACTGCTCAACAGTCCGCTCCGTCCTCCTTTATGGCTGTGAGACCTGGCCATCGAGAGTGGAAGACATGAAAAGATTAGCTGTCTTCGATCATAGGTGTCTGCGTTCTATCTCCCGTGTGAAGTGGTATAATTGGGTAAGCAATAATGAGGTTAGGCGTCGAGTGCTAAGCAGGTGAGAGGGGAAATCAAATGATGAGGCTGTGAAGCTACATCGACTGAGATGGTTAAGACATGTGTTACGTATGCCAGCCCAGTCATCGCCTTCCTCGACAATGGGAAATGTTAGCTGATATAGGGTCAGGCTTGAAAAGAACTAGCGGCGGTCAAACTAAAACATAGCACCAGTCAATAAAATACACGACAAATAGTTTAAGCCATGTAGGAAGGTGTAGACTTCCTGGTTGGGGTCTTCGGGGCGGTAAAAGCCAATGGCTGGAGACAATTGGTAATATGGCTCAAAATCCTCGTTGTCAGTGGCTGGCGCAAATGCATCCACTCCTTGTGACTTATAATATCCAATGAAACTATATTGCTCTTCATTATTACTATTCCTTTTGTCTCATATCCCTGTTTACTGTCTCTATTTTGCATTTCTTCTACTTTCTTCTCTTGTTCTGTGTGCTACATGGAGTGTGGCGACTTGAACTGCTGCGCATCGGTGCAAAGTTCTATGTCGAAAACCGACCGACCGGCCGAGATGCGTCGGTGGTTTACTGGTAGAATGCTCACCTACCGTGCATGCGGTCCAGGTTCGATTCTCGACTCGCCTGGACATGAGATGTATGAGGAGAAAGAAATACACAACCACATAGCACACAAGTGAAATGGCTTATTTCTCGAGAACCCTATTCAATCAACCAAGCTACCCTTAACTTTACAACTACGATTCAAAATCAATAAATTGGTGAGTTGATATCACCATTTTAATCTAATTCAACATAAACTGTGAAGACTAATCGAATTACGAAAAAACGATATAAAAAATAACACCACTGTGTATATGCAAAGTCAAATCGTACAAAAACCCAATGTTTTGGTATCATTTTGTTCTCGGAGCTGAATAGTTCATTGTCCATCTGAATAAGATCTCCAGAGCTAATTTTAGTGTGAAAAATGCTTTAAGGATTCCTCAGGGATGAAATATTTTTCTCTCCTAGTGACTTTCATTTTGACTGTTTGTCTCCGTAGATTTATTTATGATGATTGCATTGACATTGATCCTCTCGTTGAGCTATTATTTTACCTTGTCCTCACGTGACCCATTTTTGATTGACTGGCAAATTCGATCTATACATGTATGTCGATTAGTCACGAAATAATTTGAGTACTAGGCCTACAGAAATTCTCTGGCGTTCTTTGTGTTTCCCCTGTTGATATGAGTTTATATTGATCCACGTGGACAACTATGAACAACAACTAAACTGGGACAATTTAAAAAACCTAAGACAGGGTAAACAAAACCAGATACAAACGTAAGGAAATCTACGGGAATAGTCAATCACGGTGGAGGTAACCAAGAGCGACGTATATTCCACCCATAGGGAATTCCCAAGGCCCATTTCTCAGTGAAGTTAGCACTCAAAACATCATTTAGGTCAAAGAAAACAACAAAACAAAAATATCCACCTGAGCTACAAATCTTCTCTACTATTTTAGAATTCAATATTGAGAAAGAAATGTGTATACTGAGGAAAGATTCTTGTCAATGCCTTACATGACACCCACTCTTCGGAGCAATTCTGGTTAAGTTAAACCAACTGAGTTCCCTTGAATCTGTTACTAAAACATATGTCGAACAGTAAATTACGGAGAGTGATCGTGCAAAATGACGACAACCAGCACAGTATTAAACGAGAACACCAAATGCCACTGTTCCTATCTAATTATGCCATTAAAGTATTCATGAAGGTGACCGTGTTCAGTCTTCACCTCTGATGAACCAACTCGCTTCCAGAAAATACACCATTAAAACTGAAGCACGTGGAAAATAGAACTGCGTCGAGTCAACGCATTGAATAAAATATAGGGTTTCATGAAAACCCTGAATGAAAATCTGAGTAAGTTTGGCATGTAGTTTTTGCGTGTCAAAAACGACATAGTACTACAAGATTCGTTTGTATAAACTCCTAGTTTTGAGAGTAGAAAGGAAAGTGTTCATATGTGTGAATCACTAATTTAAGCACTTGTTTTAGTCATGACAGACTGCTTTCTGACGATACAACAGTACAGACACAAGAAAAATGGTTTAGCACTTGGTAACAGCTTTTTTTGTTCTAATAATAACGGTTACGGGATAGGAAGGCTAAACGTAGGAGACATGAAGCGATGACCATAAATCTTATGGTACCATTGCTCACGTTAAGTAGAATCACTTGATTAATGATATTAAAGTAGACATACTATAGTTAAGAAACTTCAGGCCTCTCTGTCTGTCGAGACTGAAAGTTTCCCAGTATATTGCAATATTGTGACAAATGCTGAGAATTCCATGCTGCATTATAAGTACTGTTTTGGAATAAAGCAGATTATTATTATTATTAATTGAGTTTCCTCATGAAGAGACAGAGAGAGGGATAAAAGTCTGTCGCTACATACTTTATTCTGTCTGTCTGTTTTCAACATAGAACTTTGCATCGATGCGCAGCAGTTCAAGTCGCCACACTCCATGTAGCACACAGAACAAGAGAAGAAAGTAGAAGAAATGCAAAATAGAGACAGTAAACAGGGATATGAGACAAAAGGAATAGTAATAACGAAGAGCAATATAGTTTCATTGGATATTATAAGTCACAAGGAGTGGATGCATTTGCGCCAGCCACTGACAACGAGGATTTTGAGCCATATTACCAATTGTCTCCAGCCATTGGCTTTTACCGCCCCGAGGACCCCAATCAGGAAGTCTACACCTTCCTACGTGGCTTAAACTAACTGTCGTGGATTTTATTGACTGGTGCCATGTTTTGGTTTGACCACAGCTAGCTCTTTTCCAGCCTGACCTCATGTCAGCTAACATTGCCCGTCGGGGAAGGCGATGACTAGGCATACGTAACACATGTCTTAACCATCTCAGTCGATGTAGCTTCACAGCCTCGTCAATTGATTTCCCCTCCCACCTGCTTAGCACTCGACGCCTAACCTCATTATTGCTTACCCAATTATATCACTTCACACGGGAGATAGAACGTAGGCACCTATGATCAAAGACACATACTTGATTGTTCGGATGAGAGTGAAAGTGAATTAGTGTTTTCAATACCTCAAGTCTTTTAAAACAGTAATCCACGAACAAAAACATAACTGAACGCAGGATGCATTTTCAGAAAATAATACAGGTACTGTATCATTCTGCTATCAAGTAATTCACTTGAAGAATTCGGTTTCTTTTATTTAATATACACAATAAATGATCAGATAATTTGAAGATAGCCATGATCAGATTACCTAAATAGTAAGGTAATCCTTCGATGTTTTCTAACTCTTGATGGCGCCAATCAGTACAAGTAGGAGTATTAAAACACAAGAATATTTCATGTTCTATTAATGCCATCACGTGTGCAAACAATAATAATTATGTTTGAATAAAAAATCGGTTTCGCATAGATATATATAAAACTGATAACCAACCTAAGGATATTTATATCAAATTTACGGTGACCAAATGAGCTTTGTTCTTCACGAGAATTTGATTTCAGTAATTCATCAGCTTCATCAGAATCAACTTCGATGTCTGGACTCATTTCAAACTTTGACTTTTTCAATAAACTCTCATCTGATGTTTCAATTTCACGCTTACATTTACTACTATTACCAATTGTATTTTTCACGGTGCGATTCAACTGAGGTGATAAAAAGCGTTCCAACTGTTGTTCACGTACATCGATTCGTACTTTTTCATGTGGTCTATACACAACTTGTGATGACTGAAGACATTTAGAGGTGTTGTTCACCCCTGACTCATCATCCGGATTTACTTCCTCTGGTTTACTAAACGTCATTGGGGTTGGTAATGAATTTTTAATGAATGTACGAATTTGTGCAGAAGACAGAAGGGCGTGTTCAATGGCATCTTGCAGTCCATTGACAATTTCATCCTATGGAAATAAAAAGCATGAATAACACGGTTATGTATGTAATAATCAGCACAGAAAAGGTCTGGAAAAGCGTGAAAATTATTACGAATATTATTACTGCAAAACTGATAATAATAATCAGTATGCTAATAAAATAAATTCTATGGTTAGGTTACAAATCCCAAATGCCTTCGATCTACTTAGACTTCGGATCTAATATGAATCAAAGCAATTTTCAACACGAGTAAATATCATTTATCAAAAAAATGGAAATTCTACTCTACTAATTTTTGATCCAGTAACAGAATGGTAGAGCGATCTTAATAAGACCTGATGATGCTGGGTCCAATAAAATATGCCAAAGAATATACCGAAATCTACTGTATAAGCAGATGAATTCTTACTAATTTAATACCTGTGTTTCATGGCATAAACACGGCTCCACATCCTGTCAACATGCTCAAGCATTTAACAGTAATACCAGTAAGGTCAGGTTATCAAGTGGAACTCGAATGGTGAGAAGCGGTAGGATGGGTGTCCAAAAGTGACATGGAAGAGACCATGTGAAGGGGATATTCAAGATTTTGGCGATAGAGTTGAACTTTAAGCACCAAAACGTACCAAAGAAGTGCGTCTGCACTAATTATTTAGAGACGCTCAGTCAGCAAGCTAGTAAAACCAGGCATATAACAATATAATCATAAATAAAATACGTTTAATGGAGTGCTATGATATTAAACAAAGGTATCTGATAGGTTTTAGGTTAGGTTTGGCAAAGATTTAGTTGAGGTTTAGGTTACAGACACGTTGGGGTTAGGTTAACCCAATAAGGGAAATATAAGGGTTGGTTCAATTTAGATTAAATTTACTTTGGGGGGTCGTTTCACGTTACGGTTAGAAGACCTAGATGAATGCATGCATAGACTCTGATTTAGTTACTCTAATGACACTCCAATGTAAAAAATGAGAGGCATTTTTGTCCCACTTCGGAAAAAGATAACCTGTGTAACAGTTTCGCGCCTTTTTATTCACTATTTTCCTAAATATATGTATTTTATACAGAAAAGTCGCCTTTTTCATGAGATTGGAGAGTCCAAAGTCATTCATTCACTGCTTCATGTTGGTGTCTGAATTTTAAATCCGCCATTTTACACAGTCATACAGCTGGTTGATAGTGATGGCGGAGAACTAAGTGAAGTACAGAATGCAATAGAAACCCTATTTCCTACTCAGAACAGAAGTCATGGACAATAAGTAATAATAATAATAATAATAGTTAAGTAAAAACATCACGAAGACTAACCTCATGAAGAAAATTCACTTCAGCTTTAGTTGGATGAACATTCACATCTAATGTATGCGGTGGCAACTGGATATTTAAGTATACATATAATGAATTACAAGTGGCAGATTTAAACATATTTGAATTATTTGAAACTCGAATTGATTTCGAAATACTTGTTCCATAATTTTTATTTATTCGATCATCACCACCATTATTTGTATTAGATGATAAAGCACGTGAAATAACAACAGAATAAGCACATTCTACAACACGTTTTATAGGTGTACAATGAACTAAACGATTATTGATGAAAAGATTGAATTTCAGCGAGGGACTCGAACCTACAGAAAGAGAAGGTTGAATAGAAAACAAAAAAAGAAATCAACAAAAAAAATTATCTATGCACCAACAAATACGACGGATAAAGCTATCTGAAGATAAGTTCTATGAGATTCTTCAATTAATTAACACAAACTCATTTACAAATTACATTATACTTTTCTTTCTCATGTTATCTACATTCGAGTAGCTTTTACTGCTGTGGAATAAGTTTCTGTTCCTGTCTCAATAACACAGGAGGCAGCTAAATTACGAATTAAGAAAACACTACTTCCAGTGTATCGATAACAATTTACTCATATGCAAGGAGCCAAACTTAGGTACAGTGTACGTACATAAAACCATTCACAATGAACAGAAACACGACTGTTTGACGATCAGAAATGTCAGTTCACAAACATACTTCAATGAGAAGTCTACAATAGACTTGAAGACAACTACTAATCGATCGTCTTACAGACTGGTGTCATGTCACTTGCTCCCCATTATGGAAAACTCAAGAGCTCATCCAAATCAATTAAATAAGAATACTGAAGCATCCTCAGCGGTTCAGTGGTAAAATACTCGCCGACCAAGTACATGGTCCGGATTCGATTCTCGGTGAACGGGACGCACTCCTATACCTCCCTAGGAAGCCCAGTAAAGAGGGAAGATTGGAAGTGAGGCTAACAACACCACCGTTACTGAAACTTCAAAGCTCAAGCTTTAAGCCCTATGCTCCATTTGAAATGCACGGGAATGAGGAGATATTAAAGCAAGATTCTATACTTATCATATAAAACAACCATTTCAAATAAGTTGTACTTACTATCAAGCATTTTGTAGATTTTCTGGGGAATTTTCAACAAAAAATTAATACTTAAAATTAAGAAGCGAAAAATGTATATTTAAAACTCTAGAAGAAAAAATTGGAACAAATTTTAAAATATCGATAGCTACCATGTCAACCATTATCTGTTTTTATGCTTCAGTAGAATAAACGACTCAAACTGCAGTGCAAGGAGATGTAAGTAAAAGACTTCAATTTAAGTTCTACTTTATTTTAGTAAAATCTGATTATTTTATGGTTGTGGGTGTTTGACGACTGTCAATGCTTACTTAATTGCTAAACTACACCATAGAAATAAATGCATCTAATAACAATGCAGTTTCAGTCAATAATCATCAAAATCCTGTAATATGCTTTGGGAAACAACTCACATTCAACAAGTAAGGCTATCATCATAGATCATTTACTGTTGAAAAATAATACGCCTACAAATGCCCTGTATGCATCTGTTTCGTTTTCTTTTTTGTCTTCCTGTTTCCTTCAATATCTGCATTAACTCCATTATTTTATCTTTGATAAAAACACTTCTTACTAAACACACTAGTAAACTGAGTTTTTGTTAGAATACTGTTAATCCTAGAGACAAATGGTGAGTATACTGGTATTGTAACTGCCTTCTTTTCTCTTCTTTATTCAGTCAACCTTCTCATTAAAATGATATAATCATGGGGGAAAAAACATCTCAGTCAATATAGCCAGGCGTGAAAAAATTATTCATATGGTCACATGGTAGTAGAACTTATAATTAGAGCACATCATTTTAGCAATCTCCAAATTCCCATTTACGCATTTAGAAAAACAAAAACAGATTGTGCGAAGAAATATGCATTCCTTTTCAGTTAGTTCCTCATCATCCGCTGTACCTACACTAATATTATTATTATTTCCTTTAATTCCTAGAGGAACATAGGGCTTCAGCCGTGCGTCTCCATTGCGTTCGGTTCTCTGTCAACGTTTCCACCTGGCTCCAAGTCTGCCCATATGCTTTCATCTCCTCTTCACATGACCTCCTCCAAGTCACCCTTGCACTGACGACCAACTCGCCGCTTCCCTTTCGGGTTCCACTCGAGCAATGGCTTGTCTAGTGATGTCACTTGATGGTTTCCTCAGAGTATGGCCAATCCACCTCCATTTCTTCCTGCATAGTTGTTGCACAACTGGCTCCTGGTTGGTTGGTTAGTTTCCAGAGATCCCTGTTGCTGATCTTTTTTGGCCATCTGATCTTGAGTATTGAGCGAAGATAGCTGTTGATGAAGGTCTGTAGTTTGTTTGATGTGCTCTTTATGATCAATATAGTAGCACTGACTTCACATTGGAGTTGAAAATCCGGATCTTATTTTTGATGCTGAGTACTGTTGACCTCCACACAGACTTGAGAGTAATGAAAGCTTGTCTTGCTTTTCCGATCCTTGCTTTGATATCCTCATAATGATATATAAGTGTTTTTTACATCAAAATGTTTTACCAATCAAGCGGTTATTTTAGTCAAGCAGTTTTACGCATAGGGGAGGGGGAGTGAAATTAAGAGGTTATGAGTCATCAAAACAATTAACTAATAAATGTTAGTAACAAGATATCTAAGTTTTGAAGGAAGGATGAGACTTAATTACGGAATTCAAGATAAGTTAATTACTAGGCGTCAGTCAGAAGTTATTACACAATCAAGAAATTTGTAAAATGGTGATGGCTAAGAAGAATAGGATGACTCAGAAGAATTAGGTAAAATACAAACAAGTCAATAGAATTAGCCAGAATTGTAGAAATTATTAAAAGTCAAAAGATATTCACAAAGCGAAGGAAAAAATCGGTTTTAAAAAAACTTAATATATGATATTAGATGGTTGGAGGCAATCGGCTACATTGCAAACCGGACTGATAGAATTCAGTCTCCACCAGAGAAAGGACTAGATACATCACACCAGTTACCAGTGTCCAATCAAACTTAATACATATCATGCAGTTGGCCATGGCAACGAAAGCGGCTATACAAACTTCTTTTGAACACACAGATTTGGCTTGTTCAGAAGAATTCTGATTGCCTCTGCTGTATGTAAAAGTCGTACTCGTAGACTATGCAAGAGGTTGGGTGATATACAACAAATAAGTTTGAAAGCTTTGTTAGAGTCGACTTGATGTCCAGCCAGTATCGACGAGATGAGCTAGTATTGAGCTGCGTATAGCTTTATTCGGACCTTTGCCAAACCAAGATGGGAGGTGTTCAGAAATTCGACGCTTAACTTGCCTGGTCGCATACCTAATGTAACTAGCTCCACACGGGCAGTTAAACTGGTAGATACACATGGAAGAGGCGAAACGGGGTAGTTTGTCTTTATTTCTTGAACTAAGTATTGCTTAGCTTAGCTGTGTGTAATTAGTGAAAACTAATTATGTTACACGCGTCGGTGGTATAGCGGTTAGAACGCTCGCCGACCATGCACATGGTCCGGGTTCGATCCCCGGCCGACGCACTCCTTTACCTCGCTAAGCTAGAAATAATGCTGGTAAAGAGGAAAGGTTGGGCATGAGGCTAGCAACCCCATCCTGTAAAATAAATACCACTGCTACTGAAACTTCAAGCCACTAGCTTGAAGCCATATGTTCCACTGGGAACGTGAAGGAAAAAAAATTATGTTGCACAGATGAAGCGTTGTAAAACAATTATTATTAGAGCGTTAATATACAAGTTGCTCTCATTAGGGAATATGAAATGCTCTACGGGAGAATAGTTCCTTAAATGATTAAATGATTAAGATTTTGGCCAAACTAGTAACATCTTTTTTTAACCAACCCTTTATTTAATCTTTCTACCTATTACATAATTTATTTTGCACACATGTCTTCATGCTCTTTCATTAACATCCTATTTTTCTAGGTGCCTTTCATACTACGCAACCCTTGTCATTACTTACCAATCTTCCCCTCTCTTAGCCCTAGTTACAATTTGATTATTCATCACATTTTCGAAACATTTTGATGACGTAAATAATAACCGCAACTAATTTTTATTTTTGTCTGACAATCCTAATGTACACATACACACACACACACAAAATAATTATATATAAATGCGATTGTACAGCTAAGTGAATGAATTAGTCGCAGAAAAGAGACTGTTCGCCGAACTTTGTTGTTTTTATATTCATAAACTAGAATAAAACTTTGATGCTCAAAGTAAACAAAAACGGTACATTTAGACTATCCTGTAATGCTTAATATTAGATTGAATAAACTACGTAGAAGATGCACAACACTTAGTAAGAACGGACAGTTTCATCAACTCTTAGACAAATAACAATGAAAGATTACTAGAATAAAGTCATTTGCATTCGTGTGGTTGCTATCATTCATAGAGTTTGCAGCTATACTGTCCTTCCTACTCTTGTGCACACACCATATTGCCAGAGATATACTGTACATATATTATATATATTCGAACTTTAGACAACGGCAATTTATTTCATCGTTTCCATATAAAAGTAGAAGTAAAACGACAGAATGGTTTGAAGAGAATTAAAACTTATAATTACAGCAGACTACAATTTATCCGCTTTAACCTAAAACAATTTTATACTAAAAGACATCAAATGTATTAATCATCACCAATTAGATAGAGTAATGAATAACATCCATAATGGAAAATAGTGGAAATTACTCCAAATAGTTGAAAGTTGTTTCTATGATAAAAAAGGTTATCTCAAATTTCATCAGGAAGAGACTACATTTGGACAACTCTTGAAATCTACGCAGTACTGGCAGCTGCTTAGTCCTGGTTTGGGACTCAGTCGTCCAGTACTCCCTGGTTTCCACTGGTTGTTTAACTCAAAAAAATTAAATCCTTGTAAGCAAACATCTGAAAAGGTTACCTAGTTGTAAAAAGATTTAAGGAACATTTCAGACATGAAAAATGCGTAATGCTCTAGGGCACCGGTCCCAGTCAACCTAACCCTGCCTGCTTTTTGTAGGTGATGATGAGATTCTCATCAGAACGTTGACTGAACTGTTCAGGAAGTGTGGGAAAGCGAGAATGTTCCGTCAGTGTGGAATGAAGCCATCCCATCTTTTAAAAGAGCTGACGTAATTCCTGTGGCAATCTTCGGGGTGTTAGTTTGCTGCCAATCGCGTCAAAAATATTGGCTTCTGTGCTACTCTGCAGGCTGTGCAAAACTGATCTGCGAAGAGCAGACTGGATTTTCTCCAGTCAGTGGATGCATTGACCTTGTTTTCACCACTCGTCATTTGCTAGAACAGTGTTACACGTATTTCAGACCTACAACTGTTGTGTTTCTTGACATTAAGGTTGCCTTCGATTCTTTGGATAAAACCGCACTCTGCGACTACCTGTTAAAGCAAGGTGTACCTGAGAAGTTTGTTAACATCCTGAAAGCCCTATACGGAAATACCTGAGGTTGAATAAGGGCACACATCCAGGTATAACCACTGTTATCAACCAACACTGGGGTTGGTTGGGAATATCTCCATTTCTCTTTTACTTCGCTATCCATGACATTCTGGAGTCAGCTCTGTAGGACGTGCGTGGTGGTGGTGGTACAGATCTGCCTCCTGGGGAAAGACTCCGACCTCGAGTATGCAGACGATACCGTCTTACTGTGCGATAGCATGTAGGCAGGCCAAATCGCAATCACTCGGTTGGCGATCAGTGTCTGTAAGTATGGTATGTGCTTTGCGCCGTCTGAGTGCGAAGTACTGTTAAAAGATTGGCCGGAGTCTGTGCCTGCACTCACCCTTGCAGGTAAACTGCTTGAATTTGTCGATAAGTTCGTACATCTGGGTAGTTTTGTGAGTGCTGGTGGAGGTGTGGCGGACAAGATTTCTAATCGTATCACAATAACTAGGGTGGCATGCGCCAATTGTAACCACCTCTGGTGCTGTTGCGAAGTTAGTCTGGTTGTCAAAGGTCGGGTTCGCAATGGTTTGGTGTGCGTGGTCTTGCTGTACGCCTGTGAAACCTAGCCTCTCTGAGCTGAGGATGTGTGGCAACTGTGCGTATTCGACCATCACTGTCTCTGTAGAATTGCTTGCATTCGATATCATCATCGTGTGAATAATTCTGAGGTCTGGCAGCGTGTGTTTGGACGTAGTGGAGATCACCATTCATCGTGTGTCGCCATCTGGAAACATCGAATTTTATGGCTTGGACATGTGCTACGAATTTCATCCCAGAGGTTTCCATACAGGTCTCTGTTCGCTAGCCAGCCCGGGGACAGGATGGAAAAAGTGAAGACGTGGCGTCGTGGGATGAAGGATATTTGTGTTAGGTTACCATTGTTTGGTGCGTCACGATTCTCTGGTTGGATTCCGAGAGATAGCTCGAGTCGCTGGCTGAAAACGTTATCGAATATGGCCAAGAATCGCAAACAATGGCGGACGAGCTGCAATTTCCTTCTTTCTTCTCTTTCCGACAATAAATGACGAATGCTGTTTGAACTTGTTAAATATGACTTCTTTCCTCCCAGATGAAGTACTTTATCCCTTCTCTACTTATATTCTTACTTTTTATCTCATATGTTATTTTATTATTTTGTGGTGTATCTTCTTGGTGCCATATTGTACCAAATAACTTCATAAATTGACACTCCTTAGTTCAACAACTAACAAGGTTTTAAATGTTCACCCAAAAAGATTTCAAAATAAAAATGAAATAGATGTCAAAGCTGATTGCTTTTTCGACAGCTAATTAGCTGCTACTAGTTCACGATACAAGAACTTAGTGTAATTATCTGCAAAACTATGAAATGAGAAGAAAATACGACAACAAGAAGACTTCAAAATAAAATATAAGTTTAAATACTGTTAATGAGGTTGATTGTTCCTTTCCCATATGTGAGAACGTTCGCGTCTTCATTTGTAGTTTACAGACTAATCTGTGAATCATCTTAGGAAAACAGACCAGGCTGTTGCTTTGACTCCTATTGATTTCAAAATTAGTCAGAAAACCATATAAGAATAACAAAACAATTTTCCACACTAGTTAAAAATTTGTAACAATAAATGCTGAACATAGTATGACGACAAAGACTAAAATGCAAGTATTCATCCTTTAGTTACTGTACCGAAATATAATGGTTAAATTTTATAACATCGTATTATTGGGGGGGAGGACCGAAACGAATAATGTCAATAATGATGAATATTGGATCGTTTATTTGTTCGAACTGATCTCCATTCGCCGGAGACAAGAAGGCTTTTTGTTGCTTAATCGCATATTGGTTGGCATAAGACTGGAGAAATCCGATCAGAAGTATAACTGTATATTCTATTAACGTTAATTTACAGACTTTGCACTGGCGGTAATTGTAATTTTGTTTCGTTATCTGTGGAAGAATAAACAATCCTATTGCCCTACCGTTTACTGTTTTTCCGCGTCGATTACCGTGAATAGTATTCTGCGTATTAGGCTTAGTCTTCTGAAATCAGCGATAGGTCCAGGGTCTTTTGCGATCTGAATATTTGACAAAGGATATTCATTAGGATGTCAAATGGAGAAGGGCGAGAATTTCTGCAAAGAGCCTCTTTACGTTAAGTTTCTTTCTATGACTTATGGGTACCCAAGTGTGAGTGAATATTTGACATCTGCATTATATATCACAGGAAATTAATTATCGACAATTTCGATCTATACAAAAACGATACTACATGGGAACGTAAACTTCAAAAGTGATTCACTTGCTGACAATGTAAGGATGACGAAATGGATTTATCCTATGGAGAAATCAATTAGAATATTAGAATATTCACTTTTTGCCCAGTGGCTTCTAATACTCTGGAAAATAAACCCGTTCCCCGAGTAACTGCCTATTCAGCTACTTCTGTGGAGTAAAGTATCTAGGTCGTTGAATGCATGCTTTATCCATAAGGACATAATCAAACATGGTTGCAGGGGAGTACTAGGGGATCCGTAGGAACTGCTATAATCGAACATCACAACACGTCCAACTACTTCCTATGTTATGGTCTAAATTATAGATTTTATATTTTTATGTTTGCTAAATGTTACCGATATTAACTCTTCCCCAAACCCACCCCATCTTTTATTCCACTCACTACTCACATAGTATATCCATTTATCCTTGTTTCCAAATTATTTATCATGAATATGTAACCATTGACAGAGACTTATTAATCTTCATATATATTTTCTGTCAAATTTGGATTAGCCCACACAGTTTGCAAATACCGTTTTGATTTGATGAGAATCATATTTTTGCTTTACTTTATTTACTTTTTTGTTGCTATGACCAACCAACTTACCTCAATCAATAATTTGTATATTCTCACAAAAAGGGAAAGTTAATACTATTGTACAGCTAAGTAAATCGACTGAAAGGAAAGAGAATTCGTCAAACTACCTGCTCTTTTATTTTTTTTTCCTTCACGTTCCGCAGTGGAACATAGGGCATCAAGCTAGTGGCTTGAAGTTTCTGTAGCAGTGTTTATTTTACAGGATGGGGTTGCTAGTCTCGTGCCTAACCTTCCCTCTTCACCAGCATTATTTCTGGCTCAGCGAGGTAAAGGAGTACGTCGGTGGCCGGGGATCGTACCCCGGACCATGTGCATGGTCGGCGAGCGTCCTAACCGCTATGCCACCAACGCATGCTCTTCTATTTTAATACTAGAAATTACACTAGAAATTGCCCTACTGGAAAGAATCCTTTACACAAGCCAGACAGTACTGAATACTGAATCATAGTATTTTTATTTATGAGAAATCGTAAGGTGTGAACGTTTGTAGAAGAAAACAACGAAGATGAATGCCCGATGATAACATTAAACAATGATTGCATCATAATACAGATAGGCTATATTTTCAAAATCGAGAAACTTCAGTACTAGCTCAATATCCACAGGGTGACATACTAACCAGACAATGAGAAAGACCTGTTCCCATTCTGAACTGCAGAAGTAGCAGCTCACTACTCAATTTATATTTCAGTGTGAGGCGAAACAGTTCTCTTTGCATAATGCTTATTTACTGATTTCCAAATAAAACTTACCAGAAGAAACTTGATTTGGTGCTGTAAGTAAACCTTCATAACGTAATCCAAAACGTTCTACAGCTAAACGTGTAGATTCCGATGATGAACACTGGGAACTAGTAAAAGAGATTAGATTCTGTGCCACGGATGAACCAATCACAGCGCGTATCGCATCCATTCTTGACCAACCAGCAGAAGTGCGTAGATCTAAAAGATGTAAAACGATAAGAAAAATAACTAAGAGACAATTCTCTTTACCTATTCTATTGTTCAGTGAACGATTCAACACACAATCTGATTCATTTCACGTTAAACAAATAATAGCAATCTGAAACTAATGTCCACCATTAAAAATAAAGTTAGAATTGATGGGCTATTAGATTCTGTCCTAGTGGCTGAATAATATACGAGCTCGCCTTGCAACCTGAAGATCCTGGGTTGGGTCATGGATGGATGCCACTGAAGAGTTTGAAGCAAGGCTACAACAGCTGTCCAGTACTCCCTGGTTTTCAGTGGGTTTTTAACTGGAGTCAGTTCACAATCAATCTTAAAATCAATAAAATCCCTGTAAACCAAGTCTTGAAAAATCAAATAACCTAGCGTTAAGATTTCCGCCTACTTTTAGATCATCAGCAAGCAACAAACACAGAAATTATTGTTGTCTCCTTTAGTTCCTAGAGGAAAATAGGGCTTCAGCCGCACGTCTTTATTGTGTTCAGTTCTCCACCAACGTTCTCACCTGACTTCATGTCTGCCCAGATGCTTTCATCTCCTCTTCACATGACCTCCTCCATGTCACCGTCGTACTGACCACCAACTCGCCGCTTCCCATTAGGGTCCAACTCGAGCGATGAACTGGCGTGTAAATTCACTTGATGGTTTCCTCAAAGTGTTGCAAATCCACCTCCATTTCTTCCTGCAGATTTGTTGCACAACTGGTTCCTGCTGGGTTGGTTCGGTCATTTCCATAGGTCCCTGTTGCTGATCTTTTCTGACAGCCATCTGACCTTGAGCACTGAGCGAAGACAGCTGTTTGTTCGAAGTGATCTTCGTAACGCGGTGCCAAGTCTGTGATCCATCTAGTAGCACTGACTCCACATTAAAGTTGAAAATCCGGACCTTATTTTCACTTTCATGCTGAGTGCTATTGATCTCCACACAGACTTGAGAGTAATGAAAGCTTGCATTGCTTTCCCCATCCTCGCTTCGATATCCTCATGATTTCCGCCCGTAGTTGAAACGATGCTTCCCAAGTAGGTAGGTAAATGAGGTTGCTTCTTTCATATTCCTCCCATTTATGCTGATTGTTGTTTGTTGTCCTTGCCATTTTTCGTGGCCAGGAATCTTCATCACCTCTGTTTTGCCCATGTTCACCTGAAGTCCTACCTGTGATGCTTCGTCCGCCAACTTGTTGCTTTTCGCTTGCATATCTTCCAGTTTGTGGGAAATCAGACATATTCCTCGGCGAAGTCAAGATCCTCCAAGTATTTTGTGTGGGTGCATTTCATGCCTGTCTCCTCACTGCCTGCCGCTGTTTGTCGCATTATCTAGTCTACCGCAATCAAGAAAATCATTGGAGATAGTAGGCAGCGTTTTCTTACTCCTGTTTTCACTTCGAAGGATTCCGTTAGTTTTCACAGAGAAAAGTCTAGAAACTCATTATTACTGTCACATGCAAGCTTCCTCTTTAGACTTCTGATATATTTTATACTATGGGACAAGTGAATACTAGTAACATAAAGAGATCAAATTAAAATGTGTTACAATTTAACCATCTTCCATAGCATTGTTGTTTTATGCTAATCTCCTTTGCACAATGTAATCGTACTCAATCATTTCACATATAATGATTAGATCAGATTAGTCGCCAGGATATTTTAAGCTATTTATTAAAACATCTACCAGTTAAATGTTTATATGAAATATGCCACATTTTCACTAAGTTGTGTTGTCAGTGATAATCATAGTGGAAATCAACGCATCCTATGAACCACGAAAATATAAACATAAAATTTACCTTGAAACATTATGTAGAGAAAGAATGAAGTAAAGCAAGTGAAGAGGAAAGAAAATGCACAGATATGTTCAAGTATTGGTTTGTAAGAATTTGATTGATTGGTTACACGATTTTATCATGAGCTGACGCACCCTGATGGTGGGTGCGTACTGCTGGAGAGTCCTAAACTAGGATGAAACAGCTGTCCAGTACTCGCAGGTTTTCCAATGGTTCTCTAACCAATGTCAGCTCATGATGAAATCCTGTAACCAAAATGCACAGATTCTTGAAGAATATAACTCTTGGTGTGTTGAAAAAGCTGCTTAATATTAACAACCGACATGAAGGATAGAAAGTAGAAGGAGAACAAGGGATTGAATAATATCTATAATAATATGAATTTGAAAATAATGAAAAGCGCGTATGTCTCATAGACCTGGATGAAAGGTCATACTGGGTAATTGACTAACGAGATCACGCATTCAACTCTAAGGTGAACTGAATAGAATGGGTTAACTTTATGACCTAATAATAACGACCTTACAAAATTTTCAGCAGATGGTAAACAAACACTCCCACTCTACATCACATGACATTATTGTTTCAATATCAACTGACACCCATTGAGAACAGCTGTCCAGTACTCTCAGGTTTTCTAATGGTTCTCTAACTGCTATCAACTCGTGATCAAACCTTTAATCAACTATAAAAACCCTGCAAACCAAGAATTCATAACTTAAGTTGTGTTAACAAACGTTCTATTGAATAACGACTGTTAAGATCATCTTATGTGAAACAGTAATTAACTTGACGCTTCAAATTCCTACATACTCAACCATCACTGAGCATCAATATTGTTTCAATCATAGCAAGTTGTTCTCAATTATCAGATGAATGAATAATTTTAAACTATTTATAATTCATTTTTAAAAAAAATATGCCAATCAAGTTGATTTGCAATGTAAAAAGCATAAAGTTTTAGGCGATTAACCGTAGAAAAGTATAAACTGCCACATATCTCTGATTGACGAGATAATTTGAGTAAACAGAAATTAGCAAATAATGTGAAATCAATACTTCATCAGCTGATAGATTTCCTCAATAAGAAGACAAAATAAAATTTACAATTTGAAAAATAATAAGGAATTTGAAATTTACACAGTTGCTTATGGAAACCAAATTATTAAGAACACAATATATGATCTGCTTGACACAATGAATGGTAATCAAGAAAGCAGGGATAAATGCGCAAAACTATATACTACTGATTGATTGAAATGAGTAGCATGTGGCGGGATATTTGTATGAAAAATCCCTTCTGGGCGATTCAACCGCAATATTTGTACCTATTTGGATGTTCCAAGTAACTATGTAATTATCATTTGTTCTTCTCCTAGACTGTACATCATTGTTCTGGCATTTAAATATCATATGTTGACTTGATCCTTATTGTTTGTCTTTCTTAAAGTTTAATCTCTCATTTTAATGCTTCTCTTTGTGGTTGTGCAATACGTTGATAATGTGTTCTACTATATGATTTTGTTTGAGTGAATCAAGGTCATTTTGACCTTGGACCGTCAGCGGGAATTGTTGGTGCGTGTTTCTTGCGGACAGAATTTCGATCCAAACCTTGTTGGGAATATTCTACTTGACTCTAAGGTACTTCTTACAGTCGAATTTCGGTTAACTAATTTTGTTCTACAATACGTGTTTTGTACTTAGAGGTTACCCTGTCTGTACAGCTGCCTAACGGCACTGCTGAGATAATTTTAAGTTTTTGATGTTATTATAAATATATGTGTAAAACTTGGGCACTGTGGTAGTATGTAATTCCGTATTAGTTTGTTTATTAGATATATCACACAGTGAAACAGTATTATTATTTACCAGACGACGTTTCGAATGCAATTTATTATTGTTCATAATCATATCAATTATAATCACACGACTTCGAAACTTCAGTTTTATAGTTTTCTTTGTTCTCTCCTATTTATCGTCGTTGGGGTAGTAGAATTTTCCAGATATATTGGACAGGTGTTGAATCATTCCCATTACACGTGTTTGCAGTTGATTCGATAAACAAAGCTTCTGTTATCAATCTCTCCCTCCACCCTGTGACATAAGGCTTTAAAACTGTCATCTAATCCCATCATATTGTTGTGTGTAATTTCTTATCTTATTCAGGTCAACTAACCTAGATTTTGTTAAGCTTTCATGCTCCGCTAGTCTGACTGCCCCTGTTCTACTACTTTGACCGATGTACTTGACCTGACAATCATTGCAGAATATTAGATAAACTAAATTGTTTTGTTTGATTGGCTCCACAGGATTGATCCTTTAACCTAATAGAATAGAACCATGGATCTGCCGAAGAATAATCGTCTTTTTGCTGTCCTTGTAGCGTTTTGTGACTGTGCGTCTCACAATGAAGTTTCGGACAGCTATACAGTAGAATGCAAAGATCAGTTCCTTGCATTCACACAACAACGAGTCAGTTTCGGTCGTTACATATTTGTATACTACCCATATAAACCAGTAGTGCTTGCTAGACAGATCGAGGTGATCTAAACACCAGGCATCCATTTCACTCGTTTGGGGTCGACCTCATCCTGTGATCGGAAAATTTGGTTTCGGAGGAGAACTGTGGTTAAGTTTCACCTCTTTGAACTGTGTAAATTGTGAATTGCAAATTAATTTTCAAATTGTCAATTTGATTCATGGTGTTTCTTAGGCACTTGAGTTACTTATCGAAAGATATTCAGAAGTGAAGAGATTCAAGAAAGAATGCATAAATGAATACACAATATGTGTGGTGAAGAGAAAGTCTTCCCCTCACAATACGATAAGACTCGCTAACAACTTACAGTGAATAATTCGCCTCCTTTCTGTGAATCCCACTATAACTAACAATCTGCACTTGTCTGTGGAAGCAATTACGTAGAAATAGATTTTGATTAATGTCCCTCGATGGTGGTGACTGAATTTTATTATTTTCAGTAAGATATCATTTGATTATGTCTGTTTTCTTAATCATAATTACAGTTAATTTAACAACTTTTGTAATTATATATATATGCCCTAGACAATCCTTCACCAGCCTAGCAACCTTTTTGAATCGCGACAACAACTTTGATATATTAATATAAGAATAGAACTTGTGCACTGTGGTAGAGTATAATTCCATTATGGGTAAAATTTATTTTGATAAATTCTCACAGTGTTATACAGTAATATTTACTGATGACGTTTCAAGCACAAACTATTGCTCATAATCATTATTATTATTTTTTATTACAGCTTGATTCCACGCCGTTTTTTGGTACAAGCATGGAATTTTCAGCATTTGATATCGGTAGCCCAAATTTTGCAGGCCGACCATTGATATGAAGTGTGCGTCGGCAGGGGATCGAACCCCAGACCATGTGCACGGTCGGCGAGAGTCCTAACCACTGTGCCATGACGCACACATATCAAGTTACTTACACTGTGGTGAGAGCTGTCTGTAAGCCAAAATTGTAGACAACAATTTACATCAATGTTTAAGGCCCGAATCAGGGTCATGAGAAAAAACAATAACAAAGCTTAACCTTGAGGAACTCCCCAACCAATCACAGTAGACTTGACGTGTGCAAATACCATTCTCAGATATATGGCTTAACTTTCTAAGAAACGGTCACAAGTAGATAACAGAATAACCTTCAGTAGGAAAACAACCAATCAGAAGACGTTCCTTCTCCGCTGACAGTAATGCACATAGAGACGTCATTAATAAACAATCTCTTGCCTGGCTCTTGTCTTCTGTCATTACAACACAAGTTGTGTGAGCAATAAATTGTGCTCGAAACGTGGTCATCAGTAAATATTACTGTATAACACTGAGAATTTATCAAAATAAATTTTACCCACAATGGAACTTTGATATATCTTCCAATATACTGAAAGCGCACAGCATATTACTAAATTTAATAGAAGCCATTCAGAGATGATAAAAAAATATGAAATAAAGTGTTAATGCTTTATAGTAGAAGCCTGTTTGTTTGAACTTTATTCAAAATCACCTTGTGATTCCTAACAACTATTTCCTAATGATGTAGAATTATCATGTGCGTAAGTGGTTCAAAGGTAGAATGCTCGTCAACCACACAAGTCGTCCCGGTTCGATGCTCAACCGACGAACTCTTAAACCTCGCCTAGTTTGCTAGCCGACAGTAAGCCAAGAAACGAGGGAAGGTTAGACGTGAGGTTTACAATCCCATCCCGTAGAAAAGAAACAATAGCATCGCTACTGAAACTTCAAGTACAGTTTGAAGCCCTATTTTCCACTCGGAACGCTTAGTTGTAGCATGTATAACTGCATAGGCAAGAAACCTACATTCAAATAAAACTCCATTCACGCTTCACACGCAGACTGATGGTATTAGGCATAAAAGTGATCAGGCATATGGAGGTTACCCATCTGAAAGTACATCAGTATTTTGATGAGGCTTTCATCAAAACATAGAGCATAACTACAATTTCACCTCAAAAATAAGAAGCAAAAGCTTGTAATATGCAGATCGACTGTTAATTTCTCTTTTGAAAGGTAAAAAAAAAGTAAAGATGAATGCTAAGAGGAAGAGAAATCACAATACAATATTGACAGCTTGTAATAATAATCACACTTGTTTATGCTTTATTTTTTTCTTAAAAATAAAATGGTAATCTAAGAATCGTATGTTAAGGTGACATTATCACTAAAAACAAAATGAAGAATAGCAGATTAACTGTCAAAAATTACCATCTAATCAATCAGCAAAAGGACAAAAATTTTTTTTGATATAGACAGTTAGTTTACAGCTGTTCAGTGTGTACGTATTTGTTACTTCATAACATAATTCTTATTTCTGTGATCTAATGGTCAACAGAATTTTTTGGCGTGTATATTGATGGACAACAGCAAATAGGATTTTTCATGAACATATATTCACTTATTATATAAATAAATAATTTGTAATAAAAGATTTAAAACTTTATGGAATAAAATGTGGAACAAAGAATTCATGACAAAACAAGGCTACTTTCTTACTGGTTGACACAGTTTCAAATTATTTTAACTTAGTAGGTAAATTACGTGACATGGTAGGATAAAGGTCGGTCGGTCTGTTTTCGACATAGAACTTCGCACATATGTGCAGCAGTTCAAGTCACCACACTTCATGTAGCACACAAAGCAAGAGAAGAAAGTAGAAGAAATGCATATTAGAGACAGTAAACAGAGGTGTGAGACAAAGGAATAGTAATAACGGAGAACAAAACAGTTTCATTGGAAATGATAAGTCACAAGGAGTGGATGCATCTGCGACAGCCATTGAGAACGATTTTCAGCCATTTCACCAGTTGTTTCCAACCATTGGTTTTTACCGTCCCGAGGACCCCAACCAGGAGACCAGTCTACACCTTCCTACGTGGCCTAGACTAACTGTTGTAGATTTCATTGACTGGTGCCACGTTTTCGTTTGACCACCGCTAGCTCTTTTCCAGCCTGACCCTATATCAGCTAACATCGCCCGTCGAGGAAGGCGATGACTATGCATACGTAACACATGTCCTAACCATCTCAGTCGATGTCATTTCACAGTCTCGTCGACTGAGACTGGTAGGATAACGACTAACAGTATAACTGAATAAGGCCTTTTTATGACTGTTGTCAAAAAAAACTGTAATACAAAGCTATTCATTCATTCTCAAACAAGCCTATATAACACAAGAACAGGAACACAAATGAGTGAATGAATAAATAAAGAATAATGAACGTCTATAATTCAATTTTGATTTCCACTGCTCCAAGTACTCAGCCAACATGTCAACTTAGGCCGACCATTTCGGTCCAACCAGTCAATGGGAAAATCAAAATTGAATTAGTAACAAAGAATAACTGGAGACCGTTGTACAAGAGCTGGTTGCCGCAGCCCAAGCTGTCTAGTGCATAACACTTTGGCGTTTGAAACTATGGGCATCATAACTCTCATTGGGAATGCAGGTACGTCCTGATGACGAGTCCCAGATAGGACGAAAGGCATATGCTGGATTCTACTCCTAGTCACCATCCATTAATTCAATAATGAATGTTAGTATAACTATGTAAGACAGACTGATGTCAATTGAATGAAGGTTAAAGTAGGGAGAAAAACATCTCAATCCTAGCAAGATATCAACCAAATAATTCCACTCTAATGGCGCCAAGAGAAAATTACAAATCAGTACAAGTTGTCATGTCATAATTTCTCATCAAATAGAAAGTAAAATGAAAGAAAATAAAAGAATGAAAGTAATATAATGAAAATAAATAATAAAACATAGAAATAAGAAGTCACAATTAAGATGAAGACAAATTAAGAACGTATTTGCTCTGATATGCTTGGTCCTGAGCCAAATCAACTACAGTCATCAACTACAAGTTCCTGTTGTTATAGTGAATTTCAAAAGAACGATCACACTTATCAAAATGAGCCAATATTAACAATAAACTAAATTCTACATTTCTTACTTAGCCATTCTACTTGACGCCAGGAGTGTTTTCAAGGGATCAGTGTCAGAATACCTGAAACTTTCGTAGACCTAATATATCCTTTCTAATTATGCTTCACAGACAAATATGAGAACAATTAAAACAAAATATGAGTATATAAATATTACACTATGTTACCTTACCTTGTTCAATGGAACTTTTTCCATTAGCATTTTCAGAATGTAAATAAAATCCACATTGTTGAGCATAATGAATTGCATATCTAAAATGCAAAAAAAAAATGAAAGCGTGAACAAAACTTTTCCCATAAAAAAGTGAATAATCAATGTCAAAAACATTTTATATATTCACCTTATATATCATCTCGCACAGCAGCATTAGTGATGAGGTTCGAATCTCTGAAAGGACATCAATTCCTTCCACGATGTAAATACACCTTGCAGAAGAGGGCCGATAAGTACGAAACATAAGCCAAAGGTTTAGTGCCAACTGCCTTTAGCTGACTAATAATAATTCAAAGATCACGGAGATGGTGACTTGACTGATAGAATACAGTCAACATCAATACTAAGAATCAGGCATACGGCACTAATTACACGACGGTGATCGATCGACATAAAGCCTCATTAACATGTCTAACTTGTTCCCTTCTACTTTGAGTCGATCAGTTACAGAGAGAAATTATATTATTATTACAGAACTTTTATGACAAATGACATAACAAAGATCACAAACTTCATTACAAAGACAAACAACATAAGAGCGAAACCTTACTATAGTAAATATTCCTACATTTCTATTTCTCCTTGAATACATTTCAATGACCACTCCTTATAATCCTATCTCTATTGGTTAATAACTTATAAGATTAAATAAGTATTGTTAGGACGGGTAACATATTTTTGTTAACCGTAAAATAATGATTGATTATTTATCTACGGTTTAAATTTCTGTTGATATGTAAGCGATATATAACTCAGTAATGTGAATAATAAAGTTGATGTTATTGTCGCATTTGTCTCAGTTAAATCTGACTTCTGTGTCTACCTCAGTAGCGAGGGATGTTTCCAAGTGATCAGTTGGCTACAGTGTCGTGAATGGAGACTCATTCAACAACAACCAACAAAACATTAACACTCAGTTACAACAAGTACCCTCATTTAAATTAATTCGGTGTGTTTGTTAGTCAACCCATCAGCGTTTATAACAACTGAAATGAGTGCCAGCTAGCACGAAACCTAGGTCAAAGGCTTCTTGCCGATTGCCTCCAACCATCTAATACAAACAATTCACAGTGCACCCTGATGCCGAGTCACCTGGCATGGTGGCCATATTGCAAACTTGACTGACAGAATTCAGTCTGCACCAAAGATAGGACTAGACACACACATTACACTAGTTACTGACTGGTGTCCAATCAGAAATGCATCCCAGTTTAAACACACTACAAATTAAACTATGGTAATGATGGCTTAACTTATTTTTTTTATTTTTATCATAGCTTGATTCCTCACAGTATTTTTGGTACAACTATGGAATTTTCAGCGTGTTATATCGATAGCCCAAATTTAGCAGGCCTACCATTGATATCCGGTGTGTGTCGGCCGGGGATCGAACCCCGCATCATGTGCACGGTCGGCGAGCGTCCTTATCTCTGCGCTATCGACGCAATTCACATAATGGTACACCCATTGACCGGTTATTGGTTTTCAGGAGAACCGAATACACCTATCCCTGCCTCTTGCGAGACGAGACACCAGCATGCAGTATCATCCTGTGGCGCAACCACTCGAGAGCCCTCTCCTCGGTGGACCACTACTCATGAAGCTATTTCGCTTTATCAACGCGTAACAACTACTCGAAATTATTTAACTTGCTATATATGTTGAAATTTTTTCGGATGGTTGGATGGGTAAAGATTTATGACGCTCAATTCATAGATTAATCTGAACAATATGCAAAACCTCATTAAACCTCCCAAAAGGAAATAAAACGGCTGAAAATTGTGAACACAGCTTAGAAATCAGCATACTAATGAGACTGTAATTATGTCTTCTTTCCCTTGTAAATCTTATTAACACATGTACATGCATATTCCATTACATCTTATAGACAGTTTTCTCTCCTTACTTTTCCAAATGTTTTTGACAAGAAAAATTATATTATAATATCCGCCTAGCTGTGTTTCAGTTAGCTGACTAATCCCCTTAAACATGCTGAGTACAGAATGAGTGCGCAGATGCTCACTTGTGTTTATGATTTCTATGAAGCTGTTTTGTTCTTCGTTATTACTATTCCTTTGTCTCACACCTCTGTATACTGTCTATATTATGCATTTCTTCTACTTTCTTCTCTTGCTTTGTGTGCTACAAAGAGGAGTGCGACTTATGCACCGAAGTACAGAATGGCTAATAAAACTGATGCCATAAAAGTTATCCATGACTAATTATCATTATCATTCAGTAAATCAAGGTTATTTCAAAGACTGCCAGACACCATTAAGGCGAAGAATTATTTTTTTTTTGGCTAGAGAATCTGTCTAACCTTTAATATTCTCTGTTTTAATTTAGGCATATATCAAGAACTTAAGTTTTCATTTAAACTGATATCAGAGAAAGGTTGTCTCTATCATTATTTAATAATACTACTACTACTAACAATACTATTTATAGTAGCAATAATTGATCAAGTGAAACAAAGATAGCAGTAGAATTATAAATAGAATAATATCGATTTGTCTTCATTCAATGAATTCCTGTGAATTTCTTCTAATTTACAGGGTTTAAATAAGCAGAAAAAGGTGGAATCCAATGGACAATTATTCTCTGGAAATAACAAGTTATTCAGTAGTTAATGTAAGGAAGCATGTGATGAATAGGTTGTGGTGCAAACTTATAAGAATTTAATAAATTATTGATGAGATAACGGGAACTAACGGGACTGGAACTTCAATTTTTCTTCAATTCAGAATTGAAGAAAAATATCTCGTGGACGTCTTTCAAAAGAATGGATATCCACGAAACTTCATCAAAAAACATCTACCTCCAGGCCAACCGACAAAATCAAAGGCCCCCAAGGAAAGCACAAGAAAACTCTCCCTACCATATATAAAAGACATCTCAGAAATCACCGCAAGACTCTTCAAACCTTTAAGAATTGATGTCGCACATAAACCAACAAAATCACTTCACTCAGCTCTGTGTCAACTAAAAGACTCAACAGCGAAAGAAGATAAAACCAACATCATCTACAAAATAAGTTGCAACGACTGCGAAAAACACTATATAGGCCAAAGTGGACGTCCCCTTCGTATCCATGAGCATAAACTAGCGGTCGAAAGACATGATATCCACTCCCTCGTAACGCTGCAAACAGACAACCACGGACATCAATTCGACTGGAATAACTTTCACATATTAGGAAGAGGAAACATCAAGAACGTCAGAGAATTTTCGGAAGCCCGGTATTCCAAGGAATAGGCAATTAACAGGCACATTGACATAGATAAAATTTACTAACTCATGAGAGGAAAAGCTCATGCAAAAAAAGTTAAACTTCAGGTCAAGGAAACAATCAATACCAATACAAATAGATTAGAGGGTGTGAAGACAGACAAGAGCAACCAATCACGTTCAGGGTCACCAGGAAAGATGACTAATAAACTCGTGGAGAAATTAACAAGCTCACTTCAAATTGAAGTATGCACTGATGATGTTGCCTAGTAGGGCAATGAAAGCTTCGCAAGTAAACCATTCAGCTCAGAGAACATAACTACATCAAAGCTGAGAACTAAGCAGCACAGAACAGCTGTTTCATCCTAGTTTGCGGCTTTTGAGTAGTGTGTAAACATGAATCTTCGAAGAACCATCAGATTACTGAACAATTAAAATACTATCTGGTCAATGAATGGGAATCCAACGAACAACCACTGTCAGCGGGTAATGAAATACCAATGTCATCGATTAGTATCTATTCTGACATCCGATTTGGTGATAGCCACTCCAGGAAGTACACCTGAGATTTAGGCACTAGTTAAGTGTAAAATGAAATTAATTTGTTGAAGCTATCGTTATTTCGCTGCTTTGAAACTTCTCTGTTGGGACCGACCACTTATAGACCCATTTATACATTATGAACAATCGTACAATGTTTTCTTAGCATTTCGTTGAAGAAAATTTATAAAGTGAATTTTAAAAATTACCAACAATGTAAGTTGGAAAATAACAGAATATGGAAAGCAAGTTTCATAGATATAAAGTGAAACAACGCACATTCAATTTTCAAACAATCTTCCTGTGAAAGCCTATTGATCTAGCGATTTCCAGCAGTCATAACTCAAGTCTTCCGTGTTCAGCATTTCTGTTAATATATATATACCACAAATACGTCTAGTAAGATTTGTGAAGTGCTATCATATATAATTTGGATGCAATAGTTATGCAAAATTTCTGATTCCCTCTAATGTAAACATGTCACTTGTCAGTCAGTAAATTTCAGTCGGATTATTGAATCAATACAGCATTAAATCAATATCTGTTCAAAAAGTTGTTGTTGTTGTTTTTCCAAAAAAGTACGTTCTCCTGCCTACCAGATTAATTCAGATCATATCAATTCCATTCCTATTAAGAACTGATGTCTTAAAGTGAAATGTGAACAGGGAAACACTTATAGAAATTAGCAAGGAGAAAATTAGGCATGCTGCCATAGTAACTATTCAACATACAGTTATATCAGTGTATATATTATCAGTTACTTCATACAATCCAGTTAAACTGAATAATATTCATTCAGGCAAATTTAAAAGGAAAAACATATCAAAATCATACTACATAGTTAATTGATTAACTATATATATATATATATAATTCATGGATGAAAGAATTGACTGTTGGTGAGCGATCAGGTAGAACAAACCATTTAGCATTTTGATAGCCACATGGTTTTGTGTGCTCGTTATGCATAACTTGTGTCCTAGCCATCTCAACTTATGTAGCTTCACAACCTTATTGATCGACTATTCCTCCTTACATAACACTTCACCCCTAACCTAAATATTACTCACTACATTATACTACTTAACAAATGGGACAGAACGCAAACATCTGTGGTCTAAGACAACCAGCTTCTTTAAGTTTCCCACTTTCAACAGAGCCACGTTTCACAGCTGTAAGGAAGGACATAACAGACAGTTGAGCAGCATATACATACTTTGATCGACAACCTTATAATACGTCTACGACAGAGATGACACAATTTGACAAGTACTTTATCACCCTTTTGTATTCATCCTGAGATTTCGCCAGCTGTCAGTTCATCAGGCCTTGTACAACTTCCCACAAAAGTGAAGTAATCAACATGCCCAACCACTTCGCTCCTTCTCTTGAAACTAGGGGTCTATGAGGACAAGACTTGCAGCGTCATCTTACATTTAATAGCGGAAAATAGCATACCAAACATATTAAAACATCTGCTCAAGGTGTTCAGGAGGCTGTGTATTTTGACAGCGTCTTCAACTAGAAGCACAATATTATCCACATACTCTAAGTCAATCCTTAAGTCGCTAAAGTCAATTAGGGACATATCTATTTGTACATCTATGATGAGAGTAATATGAAGTTATTCAAGGGAAACGTTTTAAACAACAAATAAGTGTGTTTTCTATCCACTATCAATGAACTAACAGAATATAAAGTGCCCTCTGAGTTTTTAAGTTGTTTTTTTCATCACAAATGTAAATCAGATGGAGAACCAGTGAAAAAATCGAGAAGCACTGGGCAGCTCTACTTCATCTCAATCTGAAACACAGGAATATTGAAATTGCAATGGAATAAAAAGAAAGGGAGTTTAACTAATTCACTAACTTTATTGTACTTTAAGAAATATATATTTTTTTGAAAATCCTCTTACAAGTATAATACTTAGTAAGTGAAATTTCTTTCTGAAAGATACTTCTCATATGTTCCCTCTAACTTTAAATATTTCTGCAGTTAAGCAACATTTCTTTACAAAAGGTATAAATCTAAAAAAATTCCCTGTCAGACCACACTGAATTATTTCCGTATTGTTGTATCACTTCAGTATCTTCGTCCTAACCTAAGATAAATTTGGAGTACATTATGGGAAAGTGTAGATTAAAGTTAACGATTTCGCCGTCAATTTTCCACGATAAGTCGTATAATATGCTAGTTCATAATGAGATTTTAAGGGAAGAATATTAGGGGAAATGAGAAAATGTCAGTCGATAAGGATGTGGAACGGTATAAATTCAAATAGTTGGGGCATTTCTTACACATGCTGAGCTACCGCCTTCCTTGACAAGTAGTATTAGCTGATACAGGAATAGGTAGGGATAATTATATGCAGTGAAGCTAAAACGTAGAGTGAATCCATGGAGTAACTGACTGTTGATCACAGTCAATGGTCAGAGATTTAATGATATAGCTGAAAATCATTCAGAAACGTGCACATGTATGCAAACCTTGTTTTCTTTCAGACTTTGAAATAGTTAGCCAATCTCCATTATGTTACTCTCCTTCCCTAAATTCCTTCTCCATTGCAATAGAATTATATTTATGTTCTCTTCTTCTCTGTGCTTTATCAAAGTGTTGCAACTTAAATTGATCCACGTGTGTGTTACGTATTATGCTATTTTGTCCATCAGTCAGCATAGATCACTATTTAATACGACAAGCAACAATAATTAAACGGACTGACTGATAAGAGACCAAACAACAACGACATTGTCTACAAATGTTTCATTCTATGGAATAATTAATTAAATCGCCAGCTACTGGGCAAGGAAATCTTTTAAATTCCACCTAGAGTTATGATGCATCAACAATTGCTTGTTCAAAGTCTAACTGATCACTTACATTTCCTCCAGCTCTCAGACAATGAAGCCACAAGAATCTTACACATAGAATATATGTGTCCTGGAGACAGAAGAGTATTCACAAAACTTTGAACTGATGGCACTTTTATGCAAAGTTCTACATTGATAATTTAGTTCACGTAAAAATCAGTAATTTCTAATTCTAAAGAGCCACACTGCTCCTCATGACGTAATCATTGTTAATTGAATTTTTCTACACATATAGATAAAGCTTCACACGTCTTGAAAGTAGATCAGTTTCAAAAGAAACCAAGAAATATAACTTAAGTTTTATGTAAGGATAAGTGCTCATTTATGCCATTAAAAATTAGTTGCCTTATCTGAGAAAATAACAATAGGTTAAAGGGGTAGATAGCGAAATCCCAACCCAATCTTGTATAGGGCACACTCGTAAACAGTGTGATTAAGAATATTTGTTTGTATTATAATGGTTACCGAAGAAAATCCCTTCAAAACAATACTAGGTACTTAAACTTTATTTAAGTAGTCTGACGAATATAAGGAAATAAATAATTCTACTAACGTTGACTTAGCCGGTTGGCGATTCCAATATAACTTAGTGTCAACTCAGACATATTCTTGGAAGTACATGTAACATTTGGATTAGAATGTTTGACAAAAATTTAAAATATGAAGCATAATGATAATAATGATTTGTAATTCTAATCCACTTACTGAGCAACTACATCTGTTATCCTTGATAACTCTTCACGTCCATTTCTCAAAGCTGCCCTCCTCATAGGAGCATTATAGAATAAATCCTCTGCAACAATAGTTGTTCCAGGATTAGCAGCGCATGGGGTAGGCTTTGATTCAGGATTACCAGCACGATATTTAACTTTGAAAGCGAAATTTTGATTGGCTGTTCGTGTTGTAACACTCACTAAAGCAACATGGCTGAGACTAGCTAACGCTTCACCACGAAAACCAAATGTGGAGATTTTGCCTAAATCTGAAAAGTCCTAGTGAAGAAAAAAGTGTTGAAAAGGTTATACAACAAACTTGAACAATTCAATAGGAACAGCTTCTGCAGAATAAGATAAATTCATTTTATCTCATGAAGTTTTTGTCAGTTACATACAACTTGAATAGTGAAATACACAAACAGTCAATAAGACATAATTTTGGCATACATCAGTTTTTATAGTCAGTCAATTTTATACGAAAATGTAATGCCAAAACCCAAGATATTGTGCGAACTACACAGGAACTTAGAATAATTAATTATGATTAAAATAAAGACACTACTTATTTTTAAAATAAGTAGTGTCTTTATTTTGAATTGGTTTTTAGGGATTCTATTTGTTTCAGGTTAGACCACGGATTATAATATCTGTTAGAGAACCATTGAAAACCAACCAGGGAGTACTGGACAGCTGCTTCATCCTAGTTTGGGACTCATCGGCAGTACGCACCCACCGCCAGGGTTCAAACCCAGGACCTTCCAGTTACAAGGAAAGCTCGTAGATCATTCAGTCACAGAGAGCCGATTCAATGGCCGATGAATTCTTACTTTTACCTATTCGTGATTTGCAGCGCGACCACCAACCATCAATCCGTGATGATTTAACCTGAAACAAATAGAATCCCCACAAACTAATTCTGAGAAATCGATCTGATGCTCGCTAGTGACTGGCTACAGGACGAAATTGCCTGGAGTTCTAGTGAGAAGTCGTGACCAGTGAGGTCCATCCAGTTGGGAGTTAGGATGGAGTTCCTGTCGATAAGATTGGTTGGTGGTAGCGCTAAGATCACGAATTGGTAGAAGTTAGAATTCATGGGGCACTGTATCGGGTCCCAGTGGCTAAATAGTATGCAAGATTGCCTTGTCCTGGGTTCGAACCCTGGAGGTGGGTGCGTACTGACGATGAGACCCCAACTAGGATGAAACAGCTGTCCAGTACTCCCTGATTGGTTTTCAATGGTTCTCTAAATGATATCAATCCGTAGTCTAACCTGAAACATTACGTATTGTTAAGCAAGGGAACCTAAGTTGATAGCGAATTGAAATGATAAACTTTGATAAATTTCGTCCTCAAAATAGAAAACAGACATTAAACACGATCAAAAGAGAAGTCATAAATCATGAGCTACAACAGCGATCACTCTAAAGAGGTTAAATACCCCTGATAAAATAAAAAGAGTGCACAGTAACTGTGATACCAATCCATTTGGAATATAAGACTTTACAGAGCAGCCTTACCAATATAATAGATGAAATCACAACTGACTGACTGGTTTCAACATCGAACTTTGCACAGAAGTTCAGCAGTCTCAGTTCCTTTGCTCCGTGCAGCACACAGAGGTAGACAAAAGAGGGAAAAAGGATTAAAAAGTACAAATATCAGCAGAAATGTGAAGGGGAAAGAACAGTAACATAGAAAGACATGCGGATTTACTGGAGATCACAAAGAGTGAATGCAACTGAGCCAGCCATTGAAAACGATTTCGAGCCGTATCACAAATTGTCTCCAGCCATTGATTGTTAACATCCTGAGAACCCCAACCACGAAGTCTACACCACCCTACTTGACCCGCTCAAACTAACTGTCAAAGATATCATGGACTGATTTTCAAGTTTTGGTCTGGCCACCACTAGCTCTTTTCCAACCTGATCCTATGTCAGCTAACATTTACCGTCGAAGAAGGCGATGGGTAGGCGTTCGCGACACATATCCCAGCCATCCCATTCGATTTACCTTCACAAGCTTATCGATTGACCTACTCTCCTTACCTAACACTACGTCTAACCTGAATATTACTCATGAAGAATTCAAAACCTAGTCTTACCAACAAAAAAAGTTTTCAGATTGTGGAAAGGAAAAACTTCCTATGAAGTTTACGTTGAAAAGATGTAAACACAAGAAAAAAAGCTTTCGATAGAGTTAGAAAAATTTGAAAACCCTTCAGTCAGAGATTTACACGCTATATTATTCAGTCAAAATAAAACCCATATAATACTGGAATTCTTTTTTAAAAAGTTTTTAGTCATAAATAAAAGTTTCATAATAGAAGAATATCATATAAAATGAAATGAAAATTTTCTGAAAAGGATAGAATGCAATAAGACGAAATTTGACATCTTTTCAACACACCCTACTGCTAAATATAAACTAACATTATAGACATACGCACACACTTGATCGCATAGTTTATACACACGTCTAACATTAGGAACAGGTATATTATCATTTTTCATCCATTCAACAACTCAGAATATTCTTGACAAGACGAGGTATGATAGAGTTATACCAGATAAAATATAAAATCGCAGTAACTTCAGCATACAACTATCGTCTAAAATCTAATGAAGAAACAACCGTACAGACACAAAGCTACAACACGGACACTGAAAAGACAGTAGATTCTGAAATAATGCAGAAGATTTATAGCTTATCAAGCGGATGATGATACTGAATTAATTGTATTCTCTGGGCTGGTTGATTTCATTGCAGAGCTTTCGCTGTCCTACTAGACAATATCTTTGCAATTAAATCAACCAGCTCAGAGAACACAACTAAATCAGAAGACAATAGATTCTTATAGTTTTACTTGAAACGGAATGGTGCTTAAAACCTTACTGATTTAGTATCACTGAAGAATGAAATACTGTTTGCAGTATTACGGCTGGCAGTAGTAGTACTAATTAGCAAGGGATACGAAAATATGTCAGACGAAGGTATTAGGATATTCAAGTTTGGTTTGTAGGGATTTGATTGATTGGTTACAGGATTTCATCAAGAGCTGACATTGGTTAGAGAACCATTGGAAAACCTGGGACAGCTGTTTCGTCTTAGTTTGGGACTCTTCATCAGTACGCACCCATTAGGTATTAGGAAGTAGTTTGGTGGAATAATTAGGGGCATCAGACTTAAAAAGTAAGATATGGAAGAATTATGATGAAAACAATCAGCACAATGGTCCATCCTCCTAGCAGTTTTTTTTCGAATGAGGAGAAGATATATTAGGGTCAGTGTTTTATGGTTTCGCAACTATTCAATATCCAGTCACTATTTGGTTAGAATATGCGGTAAGAGGAAATTTCAATGGTGACAATGAGATTTATTGATGTCTAATCCCATGAAGAGCATGCTACTCTCGATTAAATGAATTTATGAGCCACAGTATTAATGAATACTGATTCAACCATACTTGGATGATGTTACTAGTACTTCTAGTACTCAAATGAACAGTAATCAGAAAATATCTTTTCCAGACTAACTGTGTCTGTGTTGTTTTAAGGTGAAATAAATTGTCCTCTGTGTACAAAAAGTGTGACTACTGTGATGAGGATCGAACTACGCAATATTAACGAAAACAACAAAATAATCAACTATAATACCAACATTTGAACAAAGCAAGAACTACAGTTTTTGCAGAGTAAAGTGGTACCATAATTTATTTCGTTGCCTTCTCATCAGCTGCTTACAGGGAAAAGACATTATTAAATATATCTGCAGAAGCAATTTTAACATACTTGCACAGAGTTCATTTTAAGCAAAAATCAATCAATATATGCATACAGTAATTATATATATATATATATATATATATGAATGTATATATATATATATATATGTGAATGTATATATATATATATATATATATATGAATGTATATAATATTAAACACTATTCCGAACAATAATGATCACACACAATAGAAACTTTTTGGCAGTGCGCATTTCGATGAAAGAGAGATGAAAATATCCAGTTACCAGGGCAAAGAAAGACTGATAACCGCTTCTTTCTGAACACACAAATCAGGTTTCAGGCGCTTGATGGCTTCAGCAAACTTGAGGAGAATTGAACTCTTTTGCCTATTGATAATTTTGAACGACTTTTCGACGTCCACCTCATGACCCGTGTCAAGAAGATGCCTGGCTATGGCACTGTTTAAACATTTGATCCCTTTAGACATAAGGTTTTTGGTACATGTTCAGAAAATCGTAGATATGCCCTTCTTTCTGTCCTTCCAATGTAACTGTTCCCGCAGATACATGTAACCTTGTATATACAGTTGGAGTTAAAATGAAAAAGAAGCGGTTATCAGTCTTTCTTTGCCCTGGTAACTGGATATTTTCATCTCTCTTTCATCGAAATGCGCACTGCCAAAAAGTTTCTATTGTGTGTGATCATTATTGTTCGGAATAGTGTTTAATATTATATACATTCATATATATATATATATATATATATACATTCACATATATATATATACATTCATATATATATATATATAATTACTGTATGCATATATTGATTGATTTTTGTTTAAAATGAACTCTGTGCAAGTATGTTAAAATTGCTTCTGCAGATATATTTAATAATGTCTTTTCCCTGTAAGCAGCTGATGAGAAGGCAACGAAATAAATTATGGTACCACTTTACTCTGCAAAAACTGTAGTTCTTGCTTTGTTCAATTTCATTAAACGGAATACCAACATTATTATGAAGTATAGTAAAGATGACACTTAAGTCTACTCATTGAGATGTAAGGGGATACCACTCCCCCTGCCCCATCATTCAAAGGAGTAAATAACAAACTCAACATTCCTACGTGTTAAATTTCAATCATTCCGCCACAATTACACCTGAAATCACTAAAATAATAAAGACGAAATTATGAATCAATTACTTTCTGTGAGAAGTTATAAATAACTACTTACCCTTAATTTGCTAGTAGTAAAACGTTCACACAAAATAGGCAGATCTGATTGTTGTATACCACAACCATTATCTTGAACTTGAATAAGTTTCAGACCTCCATCTTTAACAGTTATCTATGGGAAAAAATTTATATATATATTGTTTGTTTACACAAGAACAATACTGACAAGCAATTGCATAATAAATGTAACATAAAAGTTACCAAGAAACTGTTCTAATATTGTACCATAAACTTTAAGTAATCACGGCCTGTGACAAAATTATTAAATCCCATTTATGAAAAAACGTGATAATGAAGTAGGACAATGACTGTTTATGTTGGACTACTAGAGTGCAGGTTTCTTACCTTGTGAAACACTATTCCACCTTGAGTATAGAGACAATATCACTAAACTATGTGACAAAATACAGTCTACACATGTAGTCGGCGGCCAGTGAGTGTGTGTAGTGCGTACTTTGAACTGTCTAAGTGTAAAACATTGTGTCCTTACTCAACCTAGTAAGTCAACGGTTAAAAGTGGTCGAGAAATTCGTAACTATAGACAGTCCTCTAACAGCTGACGAAGGTGAGACGGATGAAACTTTCAATCGTAAAACTAAAACCAGGGTGCTATATACACACAGATATGGATCACCCGTGGTATAAGTGCAATATTAGTTTAGTCGTCAATGGTCAGTCAGGTTTACAAAGCTTCCATGCATTAAGTCTTAACCTAATCTGAGGTAAGAACGTGAGGTGACTCTGCATGTTTGGTCACAGCTACATCTGTAGGATTACTTGTTGGTTAGTTAGAACTCAGTTACCAGAAACTGACTTTTCATGTTCCAAGCTATTAACCACACCGAATGTGTCAGAATTGATGGTTCTACCAAGCCACTCAGGACTGGACTCCAGAACCGACTGGATGAAATTCAAGTCATAAAGTCAGTGAACAAAATCTACACAAGATTTGCTTATATATAATTCTGAGATTTGGTGGTAGGCGGAATCAGAATCGTCTTCTAGTGGATGAAGACAAGTTGAGTTGTCCAGTAATACGTTACAAATGTCATCTCAGCAGGCTTCATATCGTTCACTGTTCTCTACATCCTAAAGTAATTTGAAGTGTAGTGAACATCTGTTTCATTTCTGCTGTTCTCTAACTTTTTTGTATCTTTTTTATATTACTACTGAATCATTTTCTGTGGCGCCCCTCTCTTGATAACTATAGTGTATCTAATTTGCTTTAATAAGTAGATTAAATCTTAAACCTGCATGTGAAAATATGTACACAACAATAGCTCTACAGGTTGATTGTGTGCATTTGTTTACCACTAAAAGACAAACTAAATAATACGTACTGCCACTTACGCTACCAATTACTGTGTTAGGGTGAGCTTAAATTGTTCAGTAGATCTAATCAGTGGCGCAACAAATATTTGAATGTGTTTTAAAGATTTGTTAACAAAAAGATTTAAACGATATATAAATATAAATAAGGCAAAATACTCGCTTAAAGTTTCTATTAGAATTTAAAAAAAGTCACGACTAGTTCAAAGTCACGACAACAACAGACCTTGTAATAAATCTGATAATGCCTGACAAGCAATAAAATATTCAAAGTTATTCATTTTTCCTAAATATTATTCATTTTTTGAAATGGTGTCAAACGTTTTTTATTTATTCAGGAGTTGATTTGCAGGGATTTGATTTGTTTTTCGAGTTAGAACACGACTGATATCAGCGAGGAGTACTGGACAGCCTTTTCGTCGTAGTTTGGGACTCATCAACAGTACACATCTACTAGGTTTGCAACCCAGGACCTTCCGGTTACGAGGAAAGATCGTATATCATTCAGCCACTGGGACCCTATTCAATGACCCATGAATTCTACATTCTACTAATTTGTTATTTTTAGCGCGACTACCAACCAGTGGGTGCGTACTGCCAATCAGTCCCAAAAAAGGATTAAACAGCTTTCCAATACTTTCTGGTCTTCAATGGTTCTCTAATTTTATTCAGGTATTATGTCAAAATAGATTCAGTAGAGAAAGTATCAAAATATTCCTCGATATCATTCACTTATTGAAAGAAATAACTATTATCTTCAGGCTTTTTGTTATGACTGAATTAGGAATTATGCTTGAACTTTCAGATCAGGTTTGAAACTCACAACAGAACACTGTCTCTCTCTCATGTATTACTTCATAATAGAATGACTTTATTCGGTACAACACAGAGTGGTACAATGCTGGTAATGTTTCAAGTACCATTTCCTATTTGAAAAATGCCCAGTTGGTATAAATTAAGAAGACAGGTCAGCAAAAAAGAGCATAATGAATTGTGTATCAGTAAGGAAATTGGAAAATTGTAAAACTTGGTTAAGTAGACATAGGGAATCTAAAGCATTAAGTGATGAATAGTGTTCAGAAATAGTTGATGAACATATATCACTCATAAAATAAAAGATTTTGAACATATATGAAGTATTTTCAAGTTAGTTTAAAAACTGAAAATGAGGACGCATTATATATGAAATTATTATTACACAACAAGTCGAAAAAAGTTATGGTAATCAAAAGGAGTCAATAAATCGCTTCTACATACATAGAGTTCCTTATGTATAATCGCAAGAGCTTCGAGGCTGTACATAGAAGATGCAGATGGGAACCCTTCTCAAAGGCTTATTGCTCATAGTAATAAATAAATATATATAAATAATAATTTACCTTATGTACTGTATCAAATAAAACTATTTTGTCTTGAAGTTATACTCTGCAACTCACAGTGACCAAGTTTTATGCTTACTCTGAGAACAAACTCCATTAAAATGTGAATTTACAAGTCAACTATAGCTAAACTACAAAACAAGAATACAATTTAAGCAAGCAAATACGTATTTTTCGTAAACTCTCACGATCAGGCTTTACAGTTACATAATAAAATATCAGCCATAGACATATGAAACAATGCGGATCAATAAAATCAAATATAATCAAGGAGAATATAAGTAGAACACATCATAATAGCAGTAATAATAATAATAGGTTGTGAAACTAAGATTAAAATATGCAACTATAGCATAGTATGATATTGATAATGAAGTTAACAGTACAAATAAAAATAGAAATAATATTTACAGTTTTCCAGTGTCACGGGGAGAGACAACTTTTCCAAGTTGGGGTTGAAGGCCATGAGAGGGTGAGGGAATGAACCACCTTCTTCTGAACACAGAGATTGGGCTGGAAAATTTTTATGGCGACTGCTTCAGTTATGTTAAGTAATCAGAGGTATGTAAAAATGTTTTAGCTATTGTTTTTTGGAGTTTCGATGCCAGTAATTCAGTGGCTGTGTCTCCTTTGAACGGTAAAGTCATATATCGTATATATATATATATCTTTTGCACAGTCTGCAAGCATTTCCCTTTGTCTGTCCTCACATCATGGAGACTTTAACAAATATGATTGTTAAGCATAACTGAAGAAGTCCCCATAAAAATTTTCCAGCCCAATCTCTGTGTTCAGAAGAAGCTTGTTCATTCCCTCTCCCCCACATGGCTTTCAACCCCAACTTAGAAAAGTTGTCTCTCCCAGTGACACCGGAAAACTGTAAATATTATTTCTATTTTTATTTGTACTGTTAACTTCATTATCAATATCATACTGTGCTATATTTGCAAGTACGTCGGTGGTACAGCGGTAGAATGCTCGCCAATCATACAGATGATTCGGGGTTCAATCCCCAGCCGACTCACTCCATTATCTCGCTAAGCCACTAATAAGACAGGTAAAGAGGGAAGGTTGAGCATGAGGCTAGCAACCCCATCTCGTAAAAGTAAACACCACTGCTACCGAAACTTCAAGCCTCTAGCCTGAAGCCCTATGTTCCACTGGGAACGTAAAGGAATATATATATATACCTGCATACTTTAATCTTAGTTTCACAACTTATTATTATGATGTGTTCTACTTATATTCTCCTTGATTATATTTGATTTTATTGATCCGCATTGTTCCAAATGTCTATGACTGATATTTTATACTACGAAATTGTAAACCCTGGTGAGAGTTTACTGAAAACACGTATTTGCTTGCTTAAATCGTGTTCTAAAATTATCTAAATGAGAATATTCAAATTATCGAAAACAAAAATAAAACGAATGAACTCTTGAAGTTAAAAAAAAATCGTAAATCAGTTGGAATGTTTCAATTAGTACATGCATTTTAAACGCTCAGTCAACTGAGCGACCAAAAGAAGTGGGTGAAGTGTTTCTTACCCATTCTATTTCTCTGATGATTACAACTATATTTAGATTAATTTCCATGGACAAATAAATGTACACCGAAAAGGATTTGGATAATCATTAGTGAACATATACATCTTTTCTTTTGCTTTGCATCATTGTTATGAGGACTTTTAATCAGGTTATGTTAAAGCATTTTTCACTATTCATTGCGTTCACAACTCATCCTAATCAATATTCCTGTAACGATCATTTGAGATGAGGTCACAGAAATCCATTGGTTTTAATAACTTTTGAGAGCAAATTATCCACTGTCCTTACCACTGTTTACATAGCAAGTTGAATATGATGTTGGGCTTTCTAAGAATGAGTACTATTTTTTGAATTCAAAAAAAAGATGTTCAGTCAACTCTATCCTAAATACAAACCTTACATTTTCATCCAAAAGGGTGACATATAAGGCATTTGTAACTGCTTATTAACTATGTTTATTCAGTTGTAGGCAAACACATACGTAAAATAACACAGTCAGTCTTTGCAGATATTCCTGAGGAAAGCATTACATTCCACTGATTCCCTGTACCGATGACTTAAGATGCCATAGTTTGTTTATTCGTCAAATAAAGTATGTGCTATGCCGCAATTCTTGAAGACCTACTTTACGACTGAAAGACTCTTTTGACCATAGTTATTTTCAGTAAATCACACATCTTGGGTGGAGCAGCACAGTAAGTATTAATGAGGTTAAGCGTAGACTGTTACGTAAGGAAGGCGATAAGTCGACTGATGATAAGATAGCTAGGACCTCAGTTACGCAAGCTGACTGTTGATATAAGTCTAGATACAGTCCTCAGTATGCCCAGAGTCAATGACTGGAGACTTGATGATGGGGATAAGAAACGTTCACAATGACGTAAATGTATACAATCCTTCAGGATACTGAAAGGTTCTAATAAACTTCAATTGATTATTCCCACCTCCCTCACATCTCTGTCTATTAATATTGATATACATATGTTTTCTTCTTGTGTACTTTACCAAGCTGTGGCAAGTTAAGCTGATTCATATATGTGTAGAGTTACACTTAGTTTCACCACTTAGTTGATCAAAAACATGATCGGGTGTCAGTGATTAACTAGCGACTTACAGTCTTTTTCAGCCCTAAGAAGAAATCTTGTGAAGAGTGCAAAATGCTGAACAGTGGTAAATCTCAACTGTAACCTTTAAAAACTACTCCAGAGTTTATTATTCTATCAAAAAACTGTATATCATATGACCGTGCAAAGTATTCTGATTGGACACTAGGTGGTAACTAATGTCTGATCCTTCTTTTAGTGCAGGCTGAATTCTATCAGTCAAGTTTGCAATGTGGCCGCCATGCTAGATAGCTCGCAATCACGGTCCACTCTCAAACTGTTGTTATTAGATGGTTAGCGGTAACCGACAGGAAGCCTTAGATCTAGGTCTCGTGCTTGTTGATGACACTTATCAGCAAGGCTCATCTGCAATTTTAAGGAATTCATGTCCTTTCTGAAATTCGAACCCATGTCACTCAGTGCTACAGTCAAAGTTGAGTGACAGAATTTGCTCTGAAGCAAACAAAGAACCAGAAGCGTGACACTGGTTACACTACCTAGTGTCCAATCAAAGTATCCAATACAATTCTAAAGGAGGTCAACCACAAGCCCAAATAGCTCAGTGGTAACGTCTCTAACTGCAGCACAGAGTGACCAGGGTTTGAATCTCAGAAGGGATTGCAGATACGCCTTGCTGACGAGTACCACCAACAAGCACGAAACCTAGGGACCAAGGCTTCTTGCCGATTGCTTCCAACCATATAATAAGACCATGTAAAGTAAATGATGAAATAATACTAAGTAGATAAAAATCTAAAAATGAAAATTTAAGCAATATGTAAATATGAAAAGCTTACCTTAATCATTGTACTACCAGCATCTATACTATTTTCAAGCAGTTCTTTGATTGCATTAACAGGACGTTGAATAACTTCACCAGCAGCAATACGATTTACTACTTCCTTCGGTAAACGTTTAATTGTATGAGTATCCGATTGATTTTTACCTTCTGATGATGATGATGTATTGCTCGTTGATTTAGAATTATCATCATTGGTATTAACATTATCCATCATTGAGTGATATAAAAAACCACGTGATAAATTTCAATGATAGAAATCGAAACCCTGAATATTTGTGTTACACACTTTAAATGGGGTAACTTTGGACACTTGAATTAAGAAGCTATTGTTTAGTAAGAAAATTTCAAAAAAGAAAACAATCGTGTAAATCATAACAATGAAATGTACTAAATAATAGTACATAAAAGCAATACAAATGTGAAATTAGTTTTAACTTATGCAAAATCTTATCACGTGTTACATTTTATCATATCGCACCTTGGATTATGAACAGATTTAAGCCTGTGTACTTCAATTTCTTAATAATATGATGCCACAAAAAACAAGGGACGCTTTTATTTTGATTTGAAACGCCAACCAAATTACTTGAACTTAGAACCTTATACAAACTGAATGTTATTTTGCTAGGATGTTGATCAAGTTTAATAAATGAATAATAAGTATGAATGGATTCTATTCTTTAGGCTAAGGGTCACACTTATCGCATGACGTGGAGCGGGACTCGAACCCACGATACACTAACATAAAACCGAGTGTTTAAGCTAATAATTACTTCTCAGTATACTTTAGCGATTATTTCCGCTAGCTAATACGTTGCAAAAATGTAGCTGTACAAATTATGTTAGGATAAGTTTGAATTACTTTAGATTGGAAAAATTAAATAGAATTATTAAGTAAAGGTGTCATTGCTTCCGACATGAAATACTTGATTGGACACTAGTCGGTAACTAGTGTAATGTATCTAGTCCCATCTTTGGTGCAGACTGAATTCTATCAGTCAAGTTTGCAATGTGGCCACCATGCTAGGTGGCTCGGCATCACGGTGCACTGTGAATTGTTGGTATTAGATGGTTGGAGACAATCGGCAGGAAGTCTTGGACTTAGGTTTCGTGCTAGTTGGCACTCACCAGTCAGCAAGGCGTATCTGCAACCTCGAAGGAACTCATGTCCCTTCTGAGATTCGAACCCGCGTCACCCAGTGCTGTAACCTCTCTTTACTTTAGCATACCAACGAATTCTGTATCAGTATGACATTTGAAAAATACTTTGAATCTTATCCTCAGACACAAAGATGTACTCTGAGAAGATGAGGAGTTGAAGTTTTCTAAATTTCAATACTTAACAGCATGATGTATTTGTCACGATTGAGGATTCAAAGTGATAACATACATTACAAAAAATTTACCATATAAATATTCAGTTATTCGAATTTTTGGCGTTAATATTAAAATCTAGCACGAAACTTAAATAACTAAAATGCAGATACTTTTACAAATAAGTAGTCTCACCTAGTTTTGTGGGAAACATTTAAAAGATTAAAGTTTTCTATTGATAATTACTTGTTGAACTCCCACTGTGATTACAGAATCCTAAAATATTTATTATAAAAACACTACTCTACTCCAATCAGAATATTTCCTTTTGTTCAGTGTGAAATTACTCTGCTTCTAAAAGATATTAAAAATCTTCTGTTATCTAAGCTTTGATCATTAAACCTGATAGTGAAATATTAACGATCAGATGTCAGAGCTGAGGAAATCAAACAAACAATTTCAATTCTAATCTGGAGAGTGAAAAATTCTCCTCTTATCTACAAAATATTTATTCTTTATACGCTTTTTGATATGCTACAATCATCATAATAACATAACAAACGTTATTCTTGCATATTTTAAATATTGAAACGATTGAACATAAAATGTTGTAAACTGGGGGGGATTTAAAATCCAGAAGAAAAGCGGACGCTGACAATTACAGTCAAAATCATCGTCAAATTAGATGCAATACCAGATAAACGGTTCAAGAGGTGTAAAGAGAGGAAGGCGGGGGAGGTCGAAGAAGTATTTAATGTGCAAGAATAGAAAAGAACTTATGCATACAGGAAGAGTGTAATTGGTCTGTCGCTACCTTGCTAATCGTATCTTAATGTTGTTCGATTTGATTGCATGATTCTTTATTTTATTGATTCCGATTTGACTAACTTGTTTCAGTTTTGCCTTCGCTCTATATTGAAGAACGAATGGCCAGAAAGAATCAGTAACAAGAAACTCTGGCTGGGAACAAACTAACCAAGAGCCGATCGCTCAACAAATATGTAGGAGAAAATGGAGATGGATCGGATTTGAGAGGCCGTCAAATGACATCGCGCGCCAGGCCATCGCTCAAGTGGAACCCCAATGGGAAACGATGAGTGGGTCATCAATGCGAGGGTAACGTGGAAGACATCGTGTTGGAGGAGATGAGAGATTATGGTCAATCGTGGACCCAGCCGAAGAGGACAGAAGAAAATGGAAGAAAGTGGAGATGTGTCATTGAAGCTCTATGTTCCACTCAGATCCCAAGGGAATAATAATTTCAGTTCTTCGAAAATCAGTTTTCTTTGTCACTAAATATCTTCTTAGTACAACTTATGGCTTTTTCTATCTGCCTTCTTCCTCTCTTTACACTCCTCTAGCTTTCCACTTGATTTTTTAAAATTATATTTTGCAAGACGTTAAGTTGAAATAGACACGTCGAGCTGGACACAGACGCACTGATCACAAATACATCGATCACCATATCAGTTTTAAGCTAGAAATTTGATATTTCCTCAATTGATACTTTGGATTTGGGATAACCTAGTTTGGAACACTTTTTGTGCTACCACTTCAACGGTTAGTGTTTTACCTTGATTCTTTTACATAACCATTGTGGTTTCAGTTAGTCCGCACCTGACGAAGACATGTGAAAAAGAAAAATACTGTTTCATGATACAATTTCTGTTTTGCTTTGCCATCAAAGGAACCAAATATTCAGAATGTAATGGTATGGTCATTTAACTGCATGACATAAGTAAGTTAGAACAAAGGAACAAGCCCGAATGCCTACAATGTGTACAAGGGACATAGCATACATTCATGGCCTGGAATTCAATAATTCTAGGCATTAAAAATGGCAGGTTGGAAACACAGTAAGCTGAACAATGCAGCTTCCAAGTTTCGGGTTAAAAGAGACCCCATCTCAAAAACGAGAATCATTCGTATCAAAAGGAGTTAAAAATAGAGTAGAGTTTACACCAAATAAACAGAATTCGGAGGTCAAGAAGTACAGTAACAGCCAGGTAAGAACCAAAAACTGATAAAACTGTTAGTACTTTTGTCTATAGCCACATATGTTTAAGTACTAAGACTATACAATGAGCAAAAAGTTTACAAATACACACCCTGAAGTAATCAAAAAGTAGGAGTTAGAGATTTCTGTACATAGCGAGGTTAAAGACATTTTAACAACCAAAAAACTAGTTTGTAGAGGATTAAGTAACACAGACAAAGAATGATTATTACCGTTTTCGCCATTCTAACAGAAAATAATCTCTACCTACAGTAATTACTTTCATAATATTCACCAAAGTCTAAATTGTAATCCATTTTATACATCAATTAATTAGAAAACGCTTACCCTGACCAGATTTTGCTTGCACTAGTTTATGAGTTCTGCCTATTGTGTAAGGTTTAATGATATTACACAGTCCATTATTGTTGTTTGGCGGCTCAGTGGCAGAACACTAGCCAACCACGCAAGTGGTCTGGGGTTCGATACCCGGCCGACGCACTCCTTTACCTCGTTTGCCGGTACTAAGCCTGGTAAAGAGGGACGGTTGGGTGGAAGGCCAGCAACCCCTGCTACTGAAACTTCAAAGCTCTAGCCTGAAGCCCTATTTTCCACTGGGAACTCAAAGGAGTAAGGTAATAATAATAATAAATAACTAATGTTGTTAGGTGGTTAGAGGCAGTCGACAGGAAGTCTTGGACCTCGGCTCCGTGCTTGTTGGTGGTACTCGTCAGCAAGGCGTATCTGCAGTCTTGAAGGAACTCATGTCTTCTCTGGGATTCGAACTCAGGTCACCAGTGATGCATTCAGGTATATTACAACTGAACTATTCGGGATAGCGACTGACCGTCCGTAAGATTGTATTGGATACTACGATTGGACACTAGGTATTAACCAATGTTATGCATCTAGTCCTTAATTTCCGTGTAGACGAGTGCCACCAAGTACGAAAGCTAATTCCAAGGCTTCCTGCTGATTCTTCCCAACCATTAACAATCCTGTCACTGTACAACGGGAACATGCATAATTAATTCATAAAATAAATTTTACTAACTAGTGTCCATTCAAATCAGTCCATTATGCTGAAACAGGAGAGACAGGAATCCACCTTAGGATTCACTAACTGTAAGTTATGTGTCAATGTCAACAATAACATCTCCATTTTACACATCAAGATACATAGATTACATATGCATTTCTTTACAATCTAAAAACTCCTACATCCTCACATGCCTTTATCATATGGACATACAGTTACTCAGTATTAGTGTGACAAAGAGAAAAATGAAAAACCTCATAAACCATCACAAAAAAGAAGGAAAATATTGTCAACCACACCACATGATAACGAATCACACCGCTATTTAACTAACTATGCGCACAAAGCAAATATAATAACAATGCATAGAAAAAAAGGATACTTTTTTTAAAATACAAACAAAAACATTATTTTCATATTTTCATGAAAGAAAAAAAACAATCTTAGGATAATTAATCCGTATAATTTATAGAATAACTATTTCAGTACAATAATAAGTAGTATAAACTGTATGAATGCAAAGGCCAAAAATAGAATAGAATGGAATAAGAAACTGGAACGAAACTGAGAACGAAAGAACAAACGACGAAAGACAAACAAAGGTAGTGGATACAAATACAAATCATTCATAAAAATCTTGTTGAAATGATTATTATTATTATTATCACTTGATTATCACTATTAGTACAAGTTGAGAAGAAAGACAATACATTATTACAAATGTACAAAGATAAACGCCAACAGTAAAATTATCCTGTACAATAAACTCAAGTGTAATTACTATTTCGTATATTAACTGATTGTTTCACAGAATGTAAATACGGTGCTATACAGTATACAGCATAACATCTTGATATTACAGGTAGACGATTTTTATACCGAGCCAGTGATAGCTTTAATCGTTTTGGACGGGATTGACTTAATGTTGTTGAATAAGAGTTACTCGTTGATGCTGGCGAAGAGGATGGTGATGATGACGGAGATGACGATGATGATGACGATGAAGCTGATTTTATTTGCCAACCTTCAGTGAAATGACATGGTCTAAATGGAGCTTGTAAGATATCTGGACGAATATAATTACCGACAGAAAATTGTTCTAATAAATTAGTAGATATATTATTATCATCATCTTCATCAGTACTGTTCAACTGTCTATCTGTTATAGAATTATCCCCGTAATCAGTATCGATTAGCGAGGCTATCAATGAACTAGAAGTATTCTCGATAACTTCATCCACTGTAATTCCTCCAATCACGTATAATTTATCTTCTAATACACAGGAAAAGGCGTTATAACGTGGAAAATCCAATACAGTAATTTGAGTCCAACAATTCTAGAAAGCGTAAATAAAAATGAATTAATGCGATTAGTTAAACTATAAGAGAAACATAATGATAGTGTTTCAAAAAGTAAGCGCCAGAATGCAGTTATGAAAAACATCATAATATAGGTAGGTTAATAAGTGGAGGTGGCACAGTGGTTAGGACGCTTGCCAACCATGCACATGGTCCGGGGTTCGATCCCCGGCTGACGCACTCCTTTACCTCGCTAAGCCATAAATAATGCTGGTAAAGAGGAAAGGTTGGGCATGAGTCTAGCAACCCCATCCTGTAAAATAAACACTGCTACCGAAACTTCAAGCCTCTAGCCTGAAGCCCTATGTTCCACTAGGGAACGTGAAGGAAAAAAAAATAGTCAACACAAGTAGTCAACTATATAAAATTGAACTGTCCTGTCTACTTCACCTTGGAAGACAAAACCAAATTGGGTAAAGAATGCTTTTTTCGATAAATTCCTCATCTGGCTTGTAAAAGGCTTAGAGGTAAGGAGAAATTATCAGATTTTTACAATCAAGTAATGATAGTCAATCAAGGTAAGCAAGCCGTCTGCATGTATTTCTTTTGAACACATTAAGTTTGGCCTATTCAGGTGGATTTCGGCATCTTCAGGTTTATATGTAAAAGTCGAAATCATAAAGCAAGTCAGAATATGGTAGATAACTTCAAAGGCCTTGTCAACACTGAGTTTATATTCAATATCTACAAGGTGAACTGAAACAGAGCAATGATTTAACCTTGTTTCTTCCTTGCTTAACTACGCAAGATGATATTCAGAAATCCGATGATGAACATGTCTAGTTTTATGTCCAATGTAACTGGCCCTACAGGAGTAGTTGAACTGGTAGATACCGACTAATCCCCTTTCGTTTAAGCTTATAACAACCTATTATTGTTTTAAGTATCCTTAATTGTCGCACAAAACCGCCTCCTACTTTTATCCGACATTCAAATTAGTATTACATTTTCATGCATATTGTCACTCCTGGATTCTTTGGAAACGTAACTGTATTGATCTCTCCAACTCGATATTATTTTTTGTTAAATTAGTGTTGCTAGGGAGCATTGTCTCAACTACAGGAGGAACGGACGAAGATGTCAAATCGAGAATCGGAAAGGCGAGAAACACATTCATCAACCTGAAACCAATCTGGAAATCTTCGTCACTCAGCCTGCATCAACAACAAAATTCGGATTTTCAATACAAACGTCAAGTCAGTCAGTTCTTCTATACAGATCAGAAACTTGGCGGGTCACAAAAAATATTCGCAACAGGTTGCAGACCTTTATCAACAACTGTCTTCGCTCTATAATGAAGATCAGATGGCCGGAAAGAATCACCAACAAGAAACTATGGGAACAAACAAAACAAGAACCAATCGCCCAACAAATATGCAGGAGAAAATGAAGATGGATTGAAGAGTCTCGCTGAGGAGGCCGCTGGGTGACATCGCGCGTCAGGCCAGTACTCGAGTGGAACCTGAAAGGGAAGCGGCGAGTGGGACGTTCAATGGTGACATGGAGGAGATCGTGTGAAGAGGAACTGAAACAGTATGGACTAACATGGATGCAGGTGAAAAGTACAGCAGAGGACAGAAACAAGTGGAGGCGTGTAGTTGAAGCCCTATGTTCCACTAGGAACCCAAGGGAACAATAATAATATAATAATGATAGCAATTATTCTTCAGATATTGCATATATACATATATATATATATATAACTTGAGCCAGATGAGGTTATCGAAAAGAATATTCTTTGGTGAATAATTTTTATTTTCTAAATATCTAAATGAAAATTTCCGCCACACTTCACCTTGAGCAATCCAGCAGTACGCATAACACAGAGCTCAAAGTTTTGCACATCAAGACAAATCATATCAGTAAAGTGCAATGACCAAGATTAACCTTTCACCGATGAATGACGAATTTGAGCACCGAATTATCACTAACGTCTAGTCATTCAAGCATGATAATAGACTTTGGCACATCGGGAGTGTTTTATAACGCGGTCACAGTAAACCGTATTACGACCCAAACAATTATCAGGCTTTCCATAGACGTACTGATTTTAACAGTATGTAAATAAGTGAATCTGATTGAACTAATTATTGGCAAATGATTCAAGTCACATCCTACACTGTTTGTTTCGAACTTAGTTCCTAGAACAGCTTTTTCATGCTCCAGGTTATGAGCCACACTTATTGTGCACGATGGCTGATGATACTACTTCGATGCCCAAACTCAAGTGGCTGAAGTGGGACTCGAACTCAAGTCCTAAAGGTTAGAAGACAAATATTTAAGCCAATGAACCACCTCTCCACCACATCCTACATTATTCCTATCCGATAGCTACTCACTTACCAATATGGCTTATAGTCAATAAAAATTATCTGTCGCTCCTAAAACCATAAGTGTTAGAACTTCTGTTATCAAAAAACATTAAAATCACAGGCGAATAGCCTTTTTTGACATCCCTACATTTTAATGTATGAGATACAACCATTCTTACTTATACTGAACGATGACTAATTGAGTTTCAATATAAAACTTTGCACACAAGTGCAGCAGTTTGAGTTGCCACACTCTATGAAACACAAACGCAGAAAAAATGGATTCAAAAGGGCTATAATCAAGGGAGGAAGAATAGTAATAGAGAAAAACATGAAGACTTAATAGATTTTGGAGATCACGAAGAATGAATGCACCCACGCCATTGAGAACGATTTTGAGCCATATCTCCAGTCATTGGTTCTTAATATCCCAAAGACCCCAGTCAGGTAGTCTACACCTCCCAACGTGACTGGCTCAAGCTAACTGTCACAGATTTCATGGACTGATGACAGGTTTTGGTTTGAATACCTCGAACTCTATTCCAACCTGATCCTATATCAGCTAACATTGGCAGTCAAGGAAGGCGATGTCTAGGCATGCGCAACACATCCTAAGCCACTCATTCGATTTACCCTCACAAACTCATCGATTGACTTACCGTCCTTACCCAGTACTCTAAGCCTGACCTCAATATTGCCCACTATATTATATTTCTTATAACACGGGAGATAGAACGCAGACACTTAACGATCAAGTGTCATGAACTAATGATGCATAATATTGAATAAAAAAGTGTATTTAAAAACCACACAAGTCGTTTAACAAGCGCTCTGTTCACTACCAGTATAAGTAAATATAAAGCAGTTACGTTATTTCTCAAGCAAATAGCACGAGGTAAGATGGTACCTTATCATAAATTTCTAAAATACAGTATTCACACACGCACACACACATATTGTGCGCTTATAGAAAAATAAACAAAATAAAAGATTTTTAAACAAAGTAAAAAAAATAAACCGTGAACAACAACTTACAGAAGTAAATTTGAAGGAGTAAACTTTATTCGAAATATCACTAAGTGTGGAACCGTATACAGACTTTCTACCACCGCATAAAAATACTTGCTCCTCTGATGCATCACAAGCTAATGCTACACTTATCAATGGTTCGGGTAATTTTGGTAAAAATTTAAAATTAACACCATCTTCTCCGGTTGGATCGAACAGGAAAACACAATCAGATGGACGCATTTCATCACCGTATTCTTTAAGACCACCAGCGAACATGACTAGACCTATTTTGTTCACATAAGTTGTGTGTGTGTGTGGGGGGGGAGGGGAGAGCGTGACAAAAGAAATAAAAGTGAGTTATGTAAAGTGTTGAAATTAACATGGAAACTAATTAACTAATGCATAAAAATAATCAGTAACTACCAAAACTAAAAACTATTCAAACTTCTGATTAAATATGCATTACGAACAGTACATTTCAAAAATACAACTGAGGTATATTTTAACATGTGACTTTGACACAACCATCTCCCTTTCATACTTTAATTTACATGTCATAAGCGTATTGTTGTAAGTCGATTAGAGATTAGTTCCTATGAAATACTAATGTATGGACGTTTAAGAATTTTCTAAATCTAACTACCACAATTTCAGAATGTTCTTTTTTTCCTTGGTAAGTGCTGTAGAAAGAATATACGGTTAATTTTCTATAGTTTGGTTGGTAAGGGTTAGTTCTGTTTTTTACGAGTTGATCACGGATTGATATCAGTTAGAGAACCATTGAAAGACCAGGGAGTACTGGACAGCCAACTGTTTCATCCTAGTTTGGGAATCATCGGCAATACGCACCCACTGGGATTCGAACCCAGGACCTTCCGGTTACAAGGCAAGCTCGTATACCATTCAGCCACTGGGACCCGATTCAATGGCTCATGAATTCTAACTTCTACCAATTCGTGATTTAGAGCGACCCCAACCAATGTCATCGGTAGGACATCCATCCTCACACATGACATCGTGAATTGACCTCACTGATCACGATGTCATGTGTAGTAGTACAGTATAATTTCTTCACACTCCCTTTACAATCAAACGTTGTCACGGCATCTCTCGATCAAATACCGACAAGTGCTGGACGTTAGTAGAACTGCCTATGTTCCAGAACGCGTCGGAAAGTGAAGGTATCATCAATGCACTGCCGTCCACGCCTGAAGCCTCCATGGTTCTCCTCGGTTCCCCACTTAGTCTTCGCAGAACAATACAAACTAAAATCGTAGATACTACATTAGTTAAGCTGATTATTACAGGAAGATTTATTTGCTTTTTTATAAACTGGGATCAACACTGATCCATATCAGCTCGTTGCAACTATCTCGGAATTCCACCACATAGTTAATCCAGTCAATAATTTATAACCGCGATTTTTAAACACTTCTGCAGTCAAACCATCAAGTTCTGATGCTGCACTTTCTTTTAGACTCGAGGGAGCATTTGAAATGACAGTCAACCTGAAATTTAGTGGTGAACAATCAAAGTGCATCCGTAATCAGATTGAACTGCTCTTCAAAGTGATCTACCAAACGTTCCAACCGTCTTCACAGACAAGTTATTAAAGCTACATTCTTCACAGAGCTATCTTTTTAATAGGCATACGTTGTTGGTGGGTGTTACCTAGTTCCGATGACTTGTCTGATTCTTTTATCACACATCAGTGTTCACAATCCCATATTTATATTCAAAATGTAATCCAGTAATAATAATTTACTACGTGACCTATCTAGTAAACAAACTAACAAACAATGGTGTACTACCACAGTGCCCACATTTTACGCTCAGATTGATTGTTCAAGATCATTCCGAAAACTTCTAGTCAGCTTGCGTCCAAACGACCCTAGCTCCTCGTTATTTGTACAGCTTGTTGGGATTAGTTTCCTGATGTCGACCATTTCGGATGACTTTTACTAACCTTAAGATGTAGATTATCAAAACACCTCACTACCCTTTTTACAGAGGAATGGATATGGTGTTAAGCTTCTTCAAGATGAATGCTACCACTATACTCAGATATGTTTTTATTATCTCTCCCCAAAATACGGACTTCATGTTCCCATCGAAAAGCTGAGCACGTATGGGTTTCGCAGCTGCTTGTCTTCTGCTTCCATTCAAATGAAGGTATACACGTACACGGACCAATGCATGGTCTGATTCCAAGCAGTTGTTTCAGTAGGACTGGCAATCTTCCATCCACACCCTTCATCTATAACTTATATACCTAGACAATCTATTAACATCCTTAGTTGGCTTGATATGCAATTGTGAAAGATTTCAGTGATGCAATCAAGATTCCCAAAGACTTAACCAGGCAACCTACATCAGCTGACCAACAGTTGGGAACACATAGATTGCTGACAAGTCCCAACTCAATAATCAATACTTTATCCTAACCTAATCCTACCTCAGCTACCATTACTCATCTAGAGAGGTGGTGGCTTCACATGCCCAACAACCACAAGTGACATTTCATTTTTAACTGAGCATTATAACTGCACCAAAAATTGAGACAAGCCAAAAATGTCACAAAAGCCATTAAGCATTACAAAAATGACAATAAAACTATATAAAAGGACATACCTTTATGCATTAAAAGCAATGCACAAGTATCCACTAAACTGAATGGTAGTTTATGATGTGAATTACTCCACTGATTTGTACAAATATCATAAACTAAAATTGAATCACTTGCAGGTGAATAATTTGTTGCCCAGTTTAAACAATAACCTCCAAATATGTAGAGATAATTTTCAATACAGATTAAAGCATGATGTGATCTAGGACAATCAAGCTCACTCATTGAATGCCAGACATGATCTGTTAAACTGTAACGACAACAGCTGAAACAAAAAGCATGAGGACAAAGAAATTAGTAGTGATAAGCAAAATTTCAAACATAACACTCTACATGAATATAAATACAACAAGTTCAGCGAACAGTCTCTTTTCGGCGAATACGTTCACTTAGCTGTACAATCGCATTTATATGTTTTTCGAGTATTGGTTTTGTAGGGATTTTGTTTGATTGCATGGAGGATTTCATCATGAGCTGACATCAGTTAGAGAACCACTAGGAAACCTGGGAGTACTGGATAGCTGTTTCGCCCCAGTTTGGGACTCTTCAGTAGTACGCACCCACCGGGGTTCGAAACCAGGACCTTCTGGTTACAAGGCGAGCTCGTAGACCATTGAGCTGTCCAGTACTCCAAGTTTTCCAGTGGTTCTCTAACTGATGTCAGCTCATGATGAAATCCTCCATGCATTTATATATAATTATTTTGTGTGTGTGTGTACATTAGGATTGTCAAACAAAAATAAAAATTAGTTAGGGTTATTGTTTACGGCATCAAAATGTTTCAAAAATGTGATGATTAATGAAATTGAAACTAGAGAGGGGTGAAGATTGGTAAATATTGACAAGGTGTTATAATTATTTGTAATAGTAGTATTTCGCAATGACCGAATTACAGGAAATCAACCAACAACACAGAGAGGGATGAATTTAGGAATTTGTATTTGGCAGAATTATTTGTAATTCATATAATAAATATTAACAAACAACACAGTGATACAAATTGTCAATCACCATACAAGGGTTGCGTAATATAAAAGATACTTAGGAAAATAGGATGTTAATGAAACAGCATGGAAACACGTGTCCAAAATAAATTATGTAATAGTTAGAGAGAGTAAAGAAAGAGTTCGTTAAACAAAGATGTTACTAAAATATCATACAAACACCCAAAAAAGCCTTATTAACAAAGTAGTCGAACTTGGAATTACACCCATGGTAGAAGCAGGGGGGTAGAAAGGATTTTTTGTGTACTTAAATCTGGGTTTTCTATCCGGATTGCTAAGGCCTCCTCGGCAATGCAAAGTATACGGAAGTTTGCCATTTTCAGGAAGCTTCTTTTGACTTTGTAGATGACTTTGAATGAATTCTCCTAACATATTAAGTGACCGGTGTTGAGTATATGTTCAATTATAGCAATCCTTATTGATCCACTGTTACCTTTTCGTAACCAAGTAGGATAATGTTCTCTGACTCTTTTAGATAAAACACGCACTGAACGACCTATACATCTCGCTTCACACGAGCAAGTAAATTGGTAGATACACATAGAAGTGATCAAAAGCGATAATTTATATTTGGAGTTGTTGAAGAACAATGAGTGGCTTGAGAATACCAATAGTAATGTTAATAAGACTTCTTTGGATGTTTGTATGACATCTCAGTAACATCCTTTGCTTAACCAACCCTTTATTTACTCTTTCTAACCATTACATAATTTATTTTGGACACGTGTCTCTATGCTCGTTCATTAACATCCTATTTTTCTGGGTGTCTTTCATATTACGCAACCCTTGTCAATACTTACCAATCTTCCCCTCCCCCTGGTTACAAATTGATTATTTATTATATTTTTGATGACGTAAATAATAGTGCCGACTAACTTTCATTTGTGTTTGACAATCCTAATGCACACAAACACACACAAAATAATGATATATAAATGCGATTGTACAGCTAAGTGAATGTATTCGTCGAAATGAGACTCTTCGCTGGACTTGTTGTGTTCTTACATTCATGTCTGGATGGGTATTTTCCGTGAATTAAAAATTAACACCCTACACAGTCCACTTATCAAATAATATCCTCAGTAATATTATCAGATTCACTAAAAGACAAATTTACAGTTTACAAATAATAGATAAACAGTTGAAGATAACCAACATTTTGCCAAAGTGTGCAAATGCATGACAGCTTAGTTAAATGTACTTTGTTACCCTAACATTCTTTTAAATGCCCTGTGCCAAATAAATATACAAGTGAAACAGCTTAGAACTTTATACAAAGTACGCAGTGATGCAGCGTGTGATATTTTTAAACGCTATAACGACATAGCACCGAAGATAATAATAACAATTTCGAAAGTAACACAAGATGAGTACTTCTATCCTACTAATTCACAACATAGAACTTTGACACAGCATGATTTTGTAACGCCTTCCAAAAATGGTAAGGCCACCAATCACATACCTCCAAAGCCCCAGGATGGTCGGGGGTGGGTGCCTTGCGCTGCGGGTTGGCCACCCCTCCGCACACCTCTTGAAATGCTTCCATATGACCGGGCGTCTTACATAGCCTCTCCCCAGGAAGTCCTACTCACTGCCTTCACGTGGCGGAGGTGTTTTTCACCAAAGTGAGAGGGCGAAAGCGGATGCCCGGCGCTCTTCACCGGGTTGACTGTCCATTGGATGACAGTCTAGGGGAGATGGCTAAACCCTGATTCCAAACCTCCAACGACTGGCGTATGAAGCTCGCTGGAGCTCACCGGCAGACGTATGGACAAAGGGCCTGTTGGATGTCCTGGATGTCTGGCCCCATTCAAAAAGGCGTATGAACCGAACTCCGGTCACCGGCTTCCAATGGATAGTGGACTCCCTACTCCACTCCTACTGTCTTGTAGGTCACACTTGGTTGTGTAAAGGCTAGAGCTGCACTCTCAAACAAAAGGCCGAGCGATTCTGGGGACATCACTTGTACCAAATTCCCATGAAACTTCATGAAATTCGGGTCTACCAAGCCTCCACACGATCCGTTCTCCTGTATGGCTGTGAAACCTGGTCTCTTCGCGCGGAAGATGTACGCAGACTCGAGGTAGTAGACCATTGGTGCCTCAGGTACATTCTGCATGTTCGTTGGCAGGACAAACTCTCCAACGAAGAAGTGCGTCGTCGTTGCTACAACATCAACCAAATTCCAGTAATGGTCCAACAACGTCGCCTTCGGTGGTTTGGCCATGTTCTGCGCCGACCAGATGACGATCTGGTCAAATCAGTTCTAAATCCCTCGCCATTACCATCTTGGCGATGTCGCAGGGGTGGACAGCTGAAAACATGGCTTGGTATAGTCAAGGCTGATATGGAGTGCCTGGGGCTACAAACCGTCTACGGACTCCGTCTGTGGAACAAGAATTGGATAACCCTGTCGCAAAGCCTTGCATCAGATCGCCGCGCCTGGGCAGCGATGATTCGAGATGTTCATGAAGCCGGCTCATCCTCCCGTAGGAGATAGCCGAAGTAAAGTAAAGTAAGTTTTGAAGAATAATATGCAGCACAGTTCCTGAATGCCTATACTATATTTATTTCGTATTGCGGGTGTATTGATAAAAATTGTTTGCTAGTTTTGTGGAAAAATAAGCAAAGCACATAGGTTTTTTATAAGTTTTTATAATAAATATCATATAGCCAATGCCCAAATTTTTTCAAACTGTTAAAAGTGAACTTGGTTTGGACATATATGAGGCATTTAAGTTTTCACGATAATAAAAATGACAGGAAAACTATGCATGAGAGAGTGTAGGAGACATAGACAATTTATGAGACCTTTTGACTGGAATAACAAAGTAGAGGTGTATTTGTTTATTTGTTTAGGCTTAATTACCCGGAATAGATCTTTCACGTGCTAGACTAAGAACTACACTTATTGTATGACGGCTTATGATACTGTCCAGTTACCTAAGCTAAAGTATGTGGAGCGGGACACGAACCCGAGTGCTTAAGCTGATGAGCCACATCTTGAAAGCAGAGGTAGTCAGGATATTACTTTTGAAGCTGAGACGTATACATGCAAAAGAATACTAGCCATGAAAACAAATACATTGTACCTGAATCAAAATTGTTGATGACATCGAGACTGTTTACTTGAAAAGATTACAGCGGTTATTATACATATATAAACTACTACATGTGGCAATCCCTTCAATTAATGCAAATACCATTAGCACTCTATATTCTAGATATGTTGTCTTTCATTTTCTATAGCTGCTTTATTGATTGTTTTCAGTATTCAAATCATCTTTATCAACAGCTTTACCAGTTAAATATAATCTACCACAACTCTACACTCTACACTACATGCCAATTGTATCTATTGTTATAAGTGGCACACACCACGGTACTAATTATTAGACACTTGATATAGTAAAACAGTTCATACCAAGAATATTTACAATACATTTTCTCCATACTTTATTACATAGACTACTTAGGAACAATACACTTCAATTTTATGAGGAGATAAATTAATAGAGATGATACGTGATACATAATGTTATGGGAAAAATGTATAATTAGTTTACAACTTTTGAAATGAAATCTCCATAACAAGTTCTAGCTACTAAGTGGTGTCTAAGTAGTATTTATGTAAAATGAAAAGACAGACATGATTAATTGTAATTCTCAATGCACACAAAGTACAAAGATATTTTAATGATTACAACATCCATTAGCGTACTATAGTTTAGATGACTGATCCTACAATGATCTATCATCTATCCTTTTGTGCAACACACTTTACTCCACGATAGAGGTTATCACTATCAGTGGGTAAAATTTATAAGTATACGAACATTGTTAAGACTTAGGACCTTCCTGTTAAGGTCTGAGTACAATATATGGTCTTTTTTGAAGAGAGTATAATTATTATTATCATACAGCATTCGAAGGGATGATAATCGTATTCATGTCACTATTAATGCTATGCAGGGGTGTGCCATAGAGTCTTAGACAATTAGCTTTTAACTAGTGAATCTGTATTTCAAATGAAGCACTAGCTACTCTAGCTTGGGTAGCTTTAAACATCAAGTCTAGTTCGTAACCTATAGCATGAAATCTTCTGCTGGGTAATTCCCACTAAGAAAACTATCATTTTGCTATGATCGGTGCAGATATCCTCTTATTACCCTGACAGGATTAACAACCAGAATTCCATAAATAAAGACAAGAAGCTGAGAATCACAAGGTTATAAACTTCAACAAGCTTGTAACTATACGACCGTGTTTGAACTCAGTTAGTGAAACAGGTTGTCTATGTTATAAGCCACACTTACTGTGTGCGTGTGTGTGTGAGGGCTGATGATATATTACTCAGTTGCCCAGGTTGATGTAGATGGAGTGGGGTTCGGACCCGGGACCTATTGGCTGGAAACCAAGTACTTACGCCAATAAGCCACGTCCTCACACTATACAACTATACATAATGTACAGTGTATATGATTAGAAGAAACAACAGTATTCTCACATTCCTGTCGCACGGCTCGAATAAGGCTAATAGTCTGTGAAACTAAACTAGTTGCCTTCGCTAAAAATAAGTCTACAAGCTAAACAATTATATCAATCATGGAATACCTAAACAACACAAACTTCTGATAACTTTGTACACTTAAACCCGAAAAGTCACCAAGCTTAAACGAACAGCAGTGTTAAGTAGTAGTTGTTTCAGGTAATGACAGTACTGGTGTAACGGCAGAAGGCAAGAGTCAGGCAACAGATCATTTATTAAGGAAATCAACGCATATTTATATATTTGCATGTACATTACTATGGATATTTAAGTAAACAAACACAGTCTTCCGATTAGTTGTTTCTCACGTAAAGTTAATCTTTCATCTATTTGTGACTGTTTCTTGAATGTCAAATCCTCCATATGTTAACTGCATCCGCCTACGCAAAGTCTGCTGTGGTCGGTTTTGAATCAATCTTTGTTCACATTTTCTCACGACAAATCTTGGGAACGTAAATATTGACGTAAATTACTGTCTACCAATTTGGCTAGTAGACAGCTCTCACCACACTGGTCGTTTTTGACTTGATTGATTATTTAGTGTATTAGACGAAAGAGAGAGAGGTAGAATACATGAGACACACCTTAATAAAAACTACAATTACAAATACAAGTCAAGAAATTCGGCATTCTTACCACTGAAAACCCTTTTGGAGAGTTAACCTTTTAAAGTCTTGAATCTAAACAACATAAACTGATCAGTCATTTACATAGCAATTTAATAAATTCCCTAGATAATATCAAAGTTGACTGCAAATAAATTTGGTAGGATTCATTGTTGTGTCAGTGAAATGTACAACCTGTAAAGTTCATGCAATTCACGGAAAACTCAAGAGAAACAACAAATAGGAAATCGTTACTTACTGATTGAGTAATTCTCCCTCTTCAGATTCACCACCAACTACATATATCCAATTAAGGGAAGCAGCCATAGCATGATGTACTCTGGAGGCGGCATATGGAGGTGGATACACTGTGGCAACGCTTAAATCCTCATTGTACACCACAAATTCATTAGTTTGTGATCCATAAGACATCAAAGTACTCTGCAATAAAAATAAGTGTTGATTAATGATCCTATTATTACCATTTAAACACAAATATTAAAATAATATGGCCACTGAAAAATGCACCATATAAAGTAAAACACCAAAAATATAACGAAAAGAGAAACAAAACATTAGAGAAACAATGGGATGAAACACGTAAGCATACTTGATAATTACATTCAACGAATTCCCCATTACCTCATATTATTAATTTCAGAAGTAGAAAACAGTGGACGACATAGGAACTTATGAAATGCCATTTGTAACAGATATTGAAGCCAGTGGGGCTAGTGTGGATATCATTTAAAAATCGACCTACCACCATCCTGTCCATACCCATGCTAACGGATCCCAGTAGTACTTAATAGTTGTTGACACCGGACGAACACACATGGCGTTACCTTACAAACTCAGCTCAGAGAGCCCAAGTCTCACATGCACACTGTAAGACTGTATGCATCAAAGCGTTTTAAACCTGGCTTTTAACGGAGAAAATAACGCCGCGATGGTGCCAGAAGTGATCTCCACTTGCGCATGATTCTATGGTTTTTCTGCACGACTGGAAACTTTATCCGTCGTATTTCTGTCAGAAGTACCCAGACAGACGAACATACTGTTTACTTCTAAAGATTCACCTACAAGGGAGGGTGGGTAACAGACCCCTGCCAATCTTGAGACAATACTTTGCACTTAGACGACAAAACATTCTTACAGATGCTGATCAACTTATTATGTAAATATATATATATATGCATTCTTTAAAATAGTACACCTTACAATAACACAAAAGAGCATTACTATAGAGACAAAGGATTGCGAGCAATTTGATAAAGAGTAGTGAGATGTTCAAGTTTTAATTGGTGATTATGAACATCAGTTGAGCAGGATGTGCTAACGTTCACACTCAGTTAGCCATCCTCAACTATTAAAGCGTTATATAATGAACATACTACAACTATTCAACAATACATGTTGAATAACAAATAATTGACTTACATTATTTGAATCGCTTTCCCCACCAAGTCCATAGACCCGGTATACAGTTCCAACTCTTGCTCGATATTGTTTAGGATCCATAAGTGAACTACTTAAGTATTGGTAATCTCTAAAATTTGTTGTTGTATAATTATCTAATTCATTGAGAAATGATGGATGATTTAAACAACTATGGGCCAAAAATAAAAATTGTAAAGCATCATTGGCTAGACGATATTTTGGATTGCCGATGATCTCCAATAATTCACGTCTAGTCAGCTGGACGAATAGAAAACATTAAAAAAATGAATAAGTAAATAGGAGAAAGTCATTTTCTTTGATAGTTTGATATTTTTTCTAATGACTCCAATATCAGTTTTCATGACATGTAATAATCACATATAGGTTAGTAGGGAGCTTTTCTTCTTATGTTCAGAAGAGTACAATACATTACAACAGTGATATGGTAACGAGACTGACCTAGAAACAACTGAAGAAGCTTGAAAATATTCGAAAATATCAATTTATCGCAGTATAGTATAATCTAATGCAGTTATTTTTTTAAAGTAGCAACCCACTAGTGAATTTTAGATTGAAACTGCATCATAAAATGTACGAATGCTATACAGTTAAAGCCCTTCTGAAAGACGTTAAGGAGCAGGCGAAACCTTCCGAGGTTGTTTATCAGGATCAATTTGAAAAACACACGTTGCATCCCCACATCTTATTTTATACTCACATCTTGTTTATCAAGACGCATAGAGAATTACCATAGTTACCAACATTTATGTATATGTATCAATTTACATGTTCCCATGGTTTTAAGCACATAGGCTGTACCAGTAGGACATTATCAAGAAAGTGTTCATGAACGTCTTCCAATATACAGAGCAACTAATAGCTAAAATCTTGAGCACACTGTTATTTTTTCCGGTAATACTGCATCAATAGAACATTCCCTCAGTATGATGTACAAGGTAAGGTAGATTCGCTTGGACGGATTCCACCAACCCCTTTGTACAGCTGAAGCCCCCGTTATACATAAAGGAAATAGTGAACTGTATATAAAAACATCTTGTCCAATCTAGATCATTACTATGAACTCAAATTTGTAATTGTTTAGCCTGCTGTATCATAACCTTGCATGCAGTTTACTTTCATGTTGCTTAGCTACAACGACCGTGGCAAAAAGCTATATATTCCGAATGTCTTTCTTCGAGGGATAATATTCATCTTCCCGAGCGTATATTCCTTGTAGTGACCATCTCTGAACGTTATTCATTACTTAATGCTGCAGGTCATGTGTAATTATTTAACTGAGTTTCAACACTTACCACTACTCTTTCACGATGTTTTGTTACCGAGCAAAATTAACCTTCGACATTTATTGACACTTTCGATAGTCTCTAATCCCGCAGCTATGAAAAGGATTTTCTTTGTTAACCTATTTCTTCTTAATTTATTTTATGTCACACGAATATTCTCCATACAATCGGATGTATGAAAAAATATCAAAAGATGATTAGTGTACCAGCCTACTACTCACTTTTCAACGTCTTTTTACAAAGCCTGTATCACTCACAAAGGAAGTTATTTAAATGGTCTAATTGTGAATGCCTCTTACACAAATACTCCAAATAAATAAGAATAATAAACAACTCACAAGGGGTAATCTCACAAGATGGAAAAAATTATTCTTAAAAAAATCCATCCGACTCTGTACATCATGACAAAGCCATGTGAGTATTGCTTCTAGGGCGATACGTTCCTGAGATATATTGATCTGATCACTTTGAAATATATATGTAATTTGTTTTGTATTTAAATTGACAAAATCATTTGAAGAATAATCAATTAGTTGGAATTCATGCCAAAGGAATAAAATAGCCTTTCTGAATAACTGATCATCGTCAAACCAATGAGCCAAATTCATAATCTCTATGGAGGTGTGGGGGGGGGGGGAAACAGAACAATCAATCAATTATAACGAAAGCATACAATATGAAAATCTCACCAGCATCCATCTCAATTATCACTCAACGCACTCAACCCACTTCACCAGAACAGCATGAATTCATTTATTGAATAGTTTCAGTAGACAGAAATAAATTATTATTATAATGAGATCTGCTACTACCGCGTAACAGTTCAAGCTTTCTTCTGTATCCTTTACCAAAGTGTATAACAGTTTGAATTAATGCAAGTGCGTGTTAAATTTTACTACGATTTGTTTATCTATATCAGTGTCAATCACTATGTAATATAATAAGCTTCTATCATGATATAGACTGATTGATGAGAAACGAAACAATCTCAGTATGATTGATAACTATTTTGTTTTGTAGAATAGCTAATAAAATCTCAGGTTAGTGAGCTACGAAATCTTTTAGATTCCATATAAACTGGTGATGCATTATAAAAGTCAAACACCAACCACCTTTGTTTCTTGCGGGTAGCCGGCAATGAAATAATCAGAATCTTATGCACACAATATGATCGAGAGACTGAAGGTTGTTTAAAAACGACTTAATCTATTGAACGACTCCTTACAATAGATTAACACTCATAACCACACCTTTTGCTTTTGTCATTATCCGATGCCATTAATTCATTACTGCGAACTGTGAATGAGCAAAGTTTTCTGAAATTCCCACTTTGAGTTTTTAGATGTGACAGGATGAGAACCAAACGTCCAACTCAGTACAATTGTTGATTAAGTCTTCAAAAAAGATTAACGTACTTATGCCAAATATGTTCCACAGTTGTTATACTGCTCTAACTTTTTTATAGTGTTACTTAGGTCATCCATCACACAACCACTCAAACAAACCTTTTTCGACCATTCCAAGAGGTCTACCAGTGAAGTATGCGTGTAAACAAATAATTCTATCAATTTTCGAAAGTACTTCCACTTTAACGGCGGGATTTACTATACGAATTGCTGATCGCCACATGACTCCAGTGAGGTTTAAACACCCGGTACTTTACAGCGGAGCAAATTGGTTGGTACATCTTTCTATCTATTATGCAGACTTTAAAGGTATGTCTTGAAAGTGCGAGCAAAAGAAAATAAAAGAATTAGGCCATCGTGCTGAAACACTGAAGGTAGCTATTGTTCCGCATAAAATGAGACATCTCTATAGTATTTTAAAATTGTAAATAAACTTCTCACACTAATCATTGACTTACAAAAAAAATGCCAGTGCACAGTTCAGTTCAGTTCAAGAAACTGAAAATATTTTTAATAAGAATGAATGTAACTATTATTAGCACTCAACCATTTCATTGGCTTAAACGATTGATGAAAGAATGCTTAACGTAAACTGAATCTGAACAGTGAAGAATAACAGTGTATGAATCTATGAACAGATAGTATCACTTTCTTCTGTTCAGAAAAGCTAATCTTGATCACAGATACTTTTAACTCTATTCTCCTAACTTTGAGTTGAAAAACCTTTGATTTGGCGGGAATAACCTGAAATAATATTTCACCATTACGTATACAGGAGATGCCATCACGGTGACCTGAATATGCACTATCTATCCACTTTTAAACTGACTATTCTCTGGGGAACCTGAAATCAACCAGAATACGCAGGAGCTAAACAACAATGTAGAGTTAAATGAATTCCTGAATGAAGCACATAATGTTGTTCTATAGTGTAAACACTAACTATGAGCCAGCAGGAAAAATGTAGCTACCCTGGAGATTTTCTATTCTACAGAAGTTGGACGGCGGTAATCACAAGAAACGGAAGCATTTTGAACACGGAATAACTTAATAACTTCCACTGCAATCCACTTTCTTGTCTGAAAACATTTTCAATCATTAGGTTACGAACTTGGACAAGACTTAATCCAACAAGGTCTGAATAGCTAGGTGATATCTCCGGCTCGCACGCAATAAGAATAGCTCATTGCCTAATGTAGGAACATCTGGGTTGTGCCTTAGTTACAATGAGTTTATTTCGCAATTCAGGGAGTTGTTCCACACGACAATTCTTACTGTCTACGTGATCATTCTGCTTCGAATATTTAACTAGAGTACAACCTACATGCCAATAATTCCTATGGGTCTACAAGTCCAGGTGAAAAATATATGATATCTTTCTATTTTCCTAAAGAAAAAACTATAAATTATTTAACACCGTAATAACTCTGTGCAGACTAGTATCTGTAAACTTGTCATATGCATATATGGAGTATCCATCAAGAACACATCTAGGTTTACAAAATAAAAATAAAAATCATACTAGATGACTTTTTACTCACTCAGAACATTGTCCACACAAAGAGTACCCTCCAAACGAGAGCTCATCATCTTTTGCAAAGAATGTACTTGCAAGAAACTTGATGCAATGTAAACATCCTGATAATCTTCAACAGGGATAGAATCATAAACTTGACCGATTGAATTGATGAATAGCATGACATGACTGATACCAACATGAGAGACATGGTCATATTTTATTTCCAATCGAGGTTCTTCTACTGACTTTTGCTGAAAACTGAATAAAGCTCTAAAATAATCACTGGAACTAGCTAAAAGCAGACGATTGGACTTGAATTCATAATCTCTAAAAACGACAGTCACGTTTGAGAACAGCCCTTTTTGAATGAGCTCCAAAATGCTCCCAGAAACTGTTTGAATATGCTCCTGAAGGAAGTCATCCACTCGCATATTAGATTCAACTGATAAGAATCCAATTTGTCATAGGTACAGTATAGTTACCAGCAAAGCGTTACTGACTAACTCTGAGAAACAAATAAGTTGAAATTGATTTAGTATACTAAATAGACTTAAATTCATATATATAACAAACCAACAACAAGCACCACTGTCAACGGAATAAATTTCAAAGACGTCACTTCCTTCACTTATTTAGGCAGGCAGCATTGTTTCAACCACAGACAGTCGGCACGGATGAAGATGTCAAAGCCAGAATCACAAAGGTAAGGTACACATTCATCACTCTGGAATCAGTTTGGATATCTTCTGCACTCATCATAAAGAACAAAATTCGGATTTCTAACAGCAATGTTGGTCAAATCAGTTCTTCTATTTGGATCAGAAACTTGCACTGCGCGTTATGAAGAGCATTCTCAACAGTTGGTTGCAGACTCTAATCAACAGTTGTCTTCGCTGGCTTCATAGTGAAGATCAGATGGCCAGAAAGAATTAGCAATAAGAAACTGTGAACAAACTAACCAAGAACCTATTGCTCGACAAATATATAGAAGAAAATGGAGATGGATCGGACACAAATTGAGGAGACAGTCAAATGACATCGTACCCCAAACCCTCGAGTGAAACCCGAAAGGAAAACTGAGAGTTGGGCGTCCGTGAGTGACATAGAGGAGATCGTATGAGGTAGAGATGAGGGACTATGTGAAGTCCTGGGGCCAGCTAAAGAGGAAAGCAGAAAACAGGACAAATTGGAGATGTGCTGCTGGAGCCCTATGTTCCATTCGGAACTCAAGGAAACAACAATAATAATAAAATAGACGTCCTACTGGTATGCTTTTCATTGGACTAACTTTTGAGTCAAATTATTAGGGAATTTTGTGATTTTGTTATTCTTTTAATAACAGTGAGAGAAGTTGAACTTCCACGTAGCTTTAAGTGAATACATGTTCATAATATTCTAAATTCATAATTCCTTTTTAAAACTACTTTTCTCACACATTATTAAAAGCAGCGATATCACGAGGTCTCTTTCAGAACTGTCTTAGTCATTGATGGTGACTTTATTTTTACTTAAAACACAAGCTTAGTACGATATGGGCACCAAGAGATGTGCCACAAAACAAAAAAACAACAACGAGACAACAACATATAAGGAAAGTAGGTATAGAATGAATGAGGGATGTCATCCAGACAGCAAACAAGCATATTTTTCAAAGTCACTCAACATCCAATATTTTATGGTACCTTCCGAAAACGAAGAGAGAGGGAAGTTGCAGCATATTCACCACTGATTACGATCCTTGGACATCTCAAATAACGTTTCGAGCCACCGATTCGAACTGTCTCTTGGACCTCAACCAGGGAGTCTTGGTGTACCAACCGATGCTAATCTAGCACAAATATCCTCCGTCCGACAGCACCACGTCATAGGCTGACCACTTCTCTACTTCCTCTATCCAGCCCCAGGGCTAGAGAGCAGAGACTGGTATGGAAGCCTCTGGGATGAAATTCGTAGCACATGTCCAAGCCATAAAAGCCGGTGTTTCCAGATGACAACACTTGATGAATAGTGATCTCCACTACGTCCAAACACACGCTGCCAGACCTCAGAATTATTCACACGATGATGATATCGAATGCAAGCAATTCTACAGAGACAGCGATGGTCGAATACGCACAGTCGCCGCACATCCTCAGCTCAGAGAGGCCAGGTTTCACAGGCGTAGAGCAAGACCACGCACACCAAACCATTGCGAACCCGACCTTTGACAGCCAGACTAACTTCGCAACAGCACCAGAGGTGGTTACAATTGGCGCATGCCACCCTAGTTATTGTGATACGATTAGAAATCTTGTCAGCCACACCTCCACCAGCACTCACAAAACTACCCAGATGTACGAACTTATCGACAACTTCAAGCAGTTCACCTGCGAGGGTGAGTGCAGGTACAGACTCCTGCCAATCTTGTAACAGTACTTCGCACTCAGACGGCGCAAAGCACATACCATACTTACAGACACTGATCGCCAACCGAGTGATTGCAATTTGGCCGGCTTACATGCTATCGCACAGTAAGACGGAGTCTTTCCCCAGGATACAGATATGTACCACCAACACCACCACGCACGTCCTACAGAGCTGACTCCAGAATGTCATGGATAGCGAAGTAAAAGAGAAATGGAGATATTCCCAACCAACCCCAGTGTTGGTTGATAACAGTGGTGATACCTGGATGTGTGCCCTTATTCAACCTGAGGTATTTCCGTATAGGGCTTTCAGGATGTTAACAAACTTCTCAGGTACACCTTGCTTTAACAGGTAGTCCCAGAGTGCGGTTTTATCCAAAGAATCGAAGGCAACCTTAATGTCAAGAAACACAACAGTTGTAGGTCTGAAATACGTGTAACATTGTTCTAGCAAATGACGAGTGGTGAACACAAGGTCAATGCATCCACTGACTGGAGAAAATCCAGCCTGCTCTTCGCAGATCAGTTTTGCACAGCCTGCAGAGTAGCACAGAAGCCAATATTTTAGACGCGATTGGCAGCAAACTAACACCCCGAAGATTGCCACAGGAATTACGTCAGCTCTTTTAAAAGATGGGATGGCTTCATTCCACACTGACGGAACATTCTCGCTTTCCCACACTTCCTGAACAGTCCAGTCAATGTTCTGATGAGAATCTCATCATCACCTACAAAAAGCAGGCAGGGTTAGGTTGACTGGGACCGGTGCCCTAGAGCATTACGCATTTTAGAGTTGTAAGACCGTTTACGTTTCAGCAGATACTACGCCGAAATAGAAAAAACATGATGGCATATAACACAACCTGACAGATAAGACGATATTTGTTTAATTCTCTTTATGTGAAGGCTATTGATGCCATCTTCCAATCTAGTCATTCGGAAGAAGCGTATATATATATATATATATATATATATATATATATATATATATATATATATAGTGGTTTAGTTCACTCACTGAATGCAACCACGTAAAAATCATCCAATCGATCTATAAACCTCTAATATTTCCAAATCCTACAAACGGGAAATGCTTATTTCAGTTCGAAAATTGTAGGATTTCGCCAAAAGGTAGGTGTCCACAAGAAAACAATTACTTTTTTTTTCTTTGGGAATGTCTCCACCAACAAACTCTATCTACCAGTGTCAAATACAAACTACTAACCAACCGCCCTTTGGGGTGAAAATTGGCCGAGCATTACAGAAACAAATGGCATACCTTATAATCACTGATGCACATTCAGAATAAAAATATCATGCTGTTAGAATTCAGGAAGAAAAGGTAAAGCGAAGTCTCAAGTCAGAATACCTATCTCGGTTGGACATCAGAATATTAAGTGAATGATACGAAGAACGAAAACAAAGAAAAATTAACCAAAATGTCTAAACAAGCGTCTAAATATATGCTAAACGATTGCGTAGTAAACTTGTTAAAACAAGTACCATCGAAAGTAGAACAAATTCATACAGGACTAAGCTACAATAGATGACGCTTCAAAAATACATTTCTCTGCTGCCTTCGAATTATCACTGAAGTTGTCAAAATTAAATGAAGAGATATAGGAAGAGATATATCAATTTATCATACTCTCAATCAAATGGAACCTAGCCTAGTTAACTACCTTGCTAGTTTACTAGCTGGTCCCAAACCCGGGTAAAGAGGGAGAGTTGGGCGTGGGACTAGCGACCCTACACCACGAAAGCTATCAAACTGCTAGAGAAACTTCAACGTGCACAAAATATATTAAAAATACAAAAAATTCAAATAATCTTATTCTTCGCTCGAATCGGAGAAGCGAAATGCCACAGTGGGCTGGTGAAAGTCTTCGGGAAGCCAGTCAGCCAGCTAATATGTCTTCTTTCTATGAAGGCAAAAATAATGGGGACGTGTAATATCCGTACAATGTACGAGACTGGGAAGACTGCCCAGGTAGCCAAAGAAATGCGAAGATCTGGCATAGAAGTGCTGGGTATCTGCGAGAGCAGGTGGAATGGATGTGGATTATCAAAATTGTCAACTGGAGTCAGTATTCTCCTCCGGTCACCCAGACGACAACCAAGAGAACATTGAGGCAGTGAGTAGCTACAATGATGTCGCCAACGGCAGTCAAAGCTCTAATGCAGTGGGAATCAATTTCCTCTTGCAGGGTCATGACAGCAAGATTCAACTCAAAAGGAAGGAATGTCACAATTATCTAATGCTACGCAAAGTGCTACAAACAACGCGGAAGAAGAGAAGGAAGATTTTTACTTACGGCTGCAAACAGTATTGGACAGCACCACAAATGGTGACATCAAAATCCTCATGGGCGATATGAACGCCAAACTGGGAAATGATAGTACAGGAAGAGAACTCATCATTGGTCTAGAGGCTGGCGATCGGTGAAATGAATGAGAACAGAGAATTATTCGCAGGCTTCCGCGCTTTCAATGATTTGGTAGTCGGAGGCAGCGTGTACAATCACGAGGATATACACAAGCCAAGCGACATGGATCCTGCCTGACGGACACACCACAAACCAGATAGATTTCATCTCAGTGCTGCTCAAGCAAGTGGGGGAGCAGCTAGCCTGATGGACACAAAGTCAAGGAGGGGAGCAGATGTGGACGGGTTCAGACCGTCATCTAGTTCAAGGAACCCTCAAGGTGAAGCTGAAGTCCCTGAAAACAAATGGAGATAGACCACAACTCAAGTTCAACATTCAGAAACTGAAGGACAAAACTACAAGGGATGCCTTTATTACAGATCATATCAGAGCAAAGTCGGAGGCACTACCTGAAGTGACTGAGGAAAACTGCGCAGAAGAACATTGCAGCTCTCTGAAGACGATATTTAAGGAAACGTGTACAACTGTTCTGTGAAGAAAGAAAAAACAAGACGAGGAATAGCATTGAACGGACACCTACCTGGAAGCTAATCGAGGAGAGGAGGATGGTGAAAGAGAAGATGACTCAATGCAAAGACGGGTAACAGAAGGAGGAGCTGAGTTCTATGTACACTGTACTGAATAAAGAAGTGAAGAGTGCTAGAAAAGACAAAAGAAAATTCCGCGATACACTAGCTGACAACTGAAGCAGAACACGCAGGTTGCAAGTAATAGAGACTTCAGGATACTATATCAGATAACCAGGTCTCTATCCGGAAAGAGATCAACTCAGATGATGAAACCAATAAAAGATGTTCAAGGGAACCTGATTACCAAGGAGGAAAAACAAATCAAACCATGAATAGGCTGATCATTTCAAAGGACGCTTGAATCGACCATCACCTGCAACTCGCCCAGAAATACCACCACCACCAACAGTAGGCACAGAACTGCCAGTGGACCCCAAATCTCCAACGAAAGCAGAAATCCTAAATGCGATCAAGCCACTTAAGTCCAGTCGGGTAGCCAGCAGGACTAGACAGAACTCCCCCCCCCCCGAAGCACTGGAAACAGACCCAGAGACTGCAGCAGATATGCTCACGCCATTATTCCGAAAAGTTTTGAAAGAAGGAAAGGTACATACCGATTGGAAGAAAGACTACCTTGTCAAGCTGTCAGAGAAAGGCGACTTAGGCCTCATTCTACAGGAAGTGGCGTGGAATAATACTCTTGTCCATGCCAAGTAAAATATTAAGCCGCGTCATCCTGGAGATAATAAAAGATGCACTGGATACAGAACTCCACTAACCGGAACAAGCTGGATTCAGGAAAGGCAAATCATGTGCTGATCAAATTGCAAATCCATGCATCGTCATCGAACAAAGCACAGAATAGCAGTCAAACCTACACCTCAACAGCTTTATCGACTTCGAAAAGGCCTTAGACAAACAGCGTTGACTGAGAAGTAATTTGGAAACTACTTAACGCTACGGTGTGCTCAAGTCTTTATCAATCTCATTCAACAGCTGGCTGTATGAGATTGCTACCTGTCAGGTGACCCACAACCGTAAACTCAGCGAAGCGTTCGAAGTGCACGCAGGAGTAAGACAAGGCTGCTCGCTACTATCACCGATGATATTCTTAATTGTGGTGGACTAGATTATGCGTCAGACTGTGCGTCGAGAATAAGGAGATAGGAATACGCTGGATGACCGACAATAAAATTCTAGAAGATCCGGGTTTAGCAGATGATATATATTTAATATCACACAAACTCGAAGACTTACAAGCGAAAACCAACAAACTGATTGAAGAAGCAGATGGCGAAGACAGGACTGCAGGTGAACATAGGGAAGACGGAGATGATGAAGGTAACCAACGAACAGCAAAACAACAACCAGCACCAATCACCATCAATGGGAGAGATTTAACAGAGGTTACCTCCTTCACGTGTCTAGGAAGCATCGTTTCAAATACAGGCGAATGGCACGGATGAAGATGTCAAAGCCAGTCAGAATCGGAAAGGCAAAATACGTCTTCACCAACCTGAAACCAGTTTGGAAATCTGGACTCAGCCAGCATGAGGAACAAGATTGGGATTTTCAACACCAATGTTGAGTCAGTCAGTTTTTCTGTATGGGTCAGAAACCTGCACTGCGTGTCACGAAAAGGATTTCCAACAGGCAGTTGCAGACCTTTATCAACAGCTGCCCACTTCGCTGGCTCTATACTGAAGATTAAATGCTCAGAAATAATTAGCAACAAGAAACTCTGGCTGGAAAAAACCCAATCGATCACATTTCTCAACAAATATGTGGGAGAAAATGGAGATGGATAGGACATACGTTGAGGAGGCCGTTGAATGATATCGCGCCCACTTCAGGCCATCATTCCATTAGAATTCAACTGGGAAGGTCGTGTGAGGAGATGAAATATTATGGTCAATCGTGGACCCATCTGAAGAGGACAGCAGAAAATAGAAGTGGAGTGAAGTGAAGTGTTGTCGAAGACCTATGTTCCACTAGGAACCCAATGGAATAATAATAAATATGATCAAACACATAAAGCATAATACCTAACTTAACACTCAAAAGTAATACGCATTGGAAGAGCCGCGGAACAACAGCAACAATGGACACAAAGAACTACACGAAGAGAGCAGATGATTTACTAAAAGATAACAATATGTATCAACGGCTGACAAAAACCTCATACCAACCGTGGATAATAAAATCAAAACCATGTTAAATAAACGGAAAAAATTACAAAACAAGATCAATGGCGACTGAAAGTTCACGGACCTGTTCTCATCTCGATTTTACGATAGACCAAAACTACACAAACCAAATATTCTCCTACGATGAATCGCTTCGCTATCAGGAAAACCAACATACCTGTCCGAAGATGTCAAAAAAAACTAAAATGTCTAATAGAATCATGTAACCACTCTATCAATTCGCCAATCCAACTTTTAGGGAAAATCAAAGACGCCCAGGCCGATAACAGTGGAATCCTTTGAAATTACAGCATCATGCACTTCAATTGGACAAAACTGGCAATAGAAAGTAAGCAACAGCTACTCTATGGTGATGAACACAAAAACAATGTTCAAGCCAAATGGACCTTATAGAGTGATGTCTTATAGCGCCTTCAATTCGATGGCCAAATATACGAAGAGATAAAAAGGAACATCACTGGGACCACCTAAAGCAGGATTAATTGCTGAAGCCGTTATGCGAAGACTGCAAACAATAACCAAAAATCGGGATGCATAAAGTAGATGATTCAAGAAATAATTCAGAATACACTCACAAACTAATCAACGTGTTTGAAAGCACTCTCATTACAAAGGAGGAAGAATGAGACAACAAAATTCCTATTTTATATAACATTTAAGAAAACAAATATGGGATGTCTAGAAACAGGTATACAGGAAATCAACCCAAACAGACCGAATACTCAAATATAGCAGCAGTAAACCAAAAGAAACTGTGTGCAAACGTTATTCAAAACAGTTAAAACACATTGCACCAATCCGGCCTTGATGAGGACAGAATATTTATCAACTGTCTTCAAGAAAAATTGATACTTCTATAATTTCATCAAAAATTTTCCATACTCGGAACGAACTGTCAAGCATTCTTAGAAGCCAAAAGAGAATTCATCCCACCATATACAATGTTTCTGAAGTAACGATTATAATGCTTAAGTTGGCCTTCACTTCCACTCCGAGTTCAAAGACATAAAATATTTGTTAAAACACACGTATCCATATTGACGCATGTGGACAACTATGGACGCCAATTTGACTGGGAATATTTAGGAATCTTACACAATGAGAAAATTAAAAGTGCCAATAAATGCCTTGAAACCTGGTATCCACACAAACCAGCGATTAAGAAACCTTAAGCACTATACTCACCAACTAATAAAGAACAAGACACATGATATAAAATTCAAGTATGAAGTCGGCAAAAAAGGATGAATTCTGATGCAAACTGACGACAGAGACGAGGGTTGTTAAGAAATACAACTAAATCATTCAAGAAAAATTTTAAAAAATCACCTTAATGTCCTGAGTGTTATCAATCTATTGAATACGATTTTTTTTCATAAATGCCTGCTCCAATTGTTTCATGATCACCAGTTAAGTCACTCGATTCACCCAGCTAGCAGCGCAAACAGTTTCATCAAAAAGTACCAGAATTTTTAAACACACCTAAAGTTGTATAAAATGTTTGCTTAAAGTCATCAGGATGCCGTCAGTAAGCTCAAAGATTATGATAATAAACTGACGCCATAAGTGTTTTTACAACTGCAAAAAATAGTGGCCGTAATTATTTATTATTTTACTTAGCTTTTAAACAAAAATAACCCCAACAGTTTTTAAGTGATCGGAATAAACACAAAATCCTGGACAATGATTATAATCTGCAGTTTATCGCATGCAATCCCTAAATTCCTGTTTTGTGCTTTCCAACATTGTTATACAATCTACTCATGTGAATATCATAGGCTTGGTCTGAAAAATGTTCAATTTAACTGCAGTTTATCTTCGCCCGTTATATATATATATATCTACATGTATATACATATATGTTGATATGCGTTAGATGGATCTCATATCCACATGCACAAAACAAGTACTAAGATGTACGTACTTATTTAAAATTAACAGGAATTCCAACTTTCCTGATTTCTTCGAACAAGAAAGGAAAAGAAAGCATGGACAACAATAGTAATTCCACAGTGGAACGGTGACCTTGACGTGAGTAACAGTTGAGAATACCCGCCTCGACTACTTTCAAAGTTGAAGGAAGGATATGACTTCATGCCCAATGTCGTTGAAAGGATAAGACACACGAAGGTCACTTTAATCCAGTCGGTCATGTTTTATTGCCGTCCCCTAACCGTTCGTTTATCCTGCATTAATTCACAACTTACCTTGATGCACATTGCTCACAAATGTTGCGTTTCACCTCATTTTTATTTCCCTTACTGTTAAAATTAGTTATCTTGTTTGTTTCGAAAGTTCTTACCACCAGGTCACTTCATTCATTTCATTGTAATTGTTTCATACGTTGCACTCATGCGTGGTTGTAGTGTTTTAGTTGTTTTCAGCTGTTAATTAAACAGTAGTTTTGGAATTCATACAAATGCACATGTATGGGTGGCAGAAGCTGTTGTTTCCAGTTCGTTTGTTGGTTACCATTACTGTTACCGGCCTAATTGGTCACTCGATATATAGAAATCTGGAAAAAAGATGTAACAATCTACGAGTCAACCTCTTGAAGAGAGCACGATCAGAATTGCTGTTAGCAATATTTTCAGAGAAAATATTGAACCTGGAGAATTTAGAACCTTGTTTGAAGTTGAAAAGGCTTTGAAACTTTTCGAAAGGGTGAGTATACCATTAGTGTATCTGTCATCAGTTTGAAAAGCCAGATATATTGTGAAGGAATCTAAATTAAACAAGGAAGAGCCACATGTGGAGTATGCATATGTGGTGTTTATATGTACTTTTGGAAACAAAAAGAAATCAATGGGCGATCAGAAACCCCTAAAGGGTAAGTGTCACCTATGGTTATTAATGCCTAATGTACTAGGTCCAAATACATGAACTAGAATTGTCTGTAATAAAGCCAATGTTATCAGCCATTCAGTATGTTGCGAAACGATTTAATGATCTGGCGAGTGTACGAACGGTACTAAATAAGGGAAAAACTTTAATTAGCCACCACAACGATTCGGATTGTGATCTACAATCGGTGGTTTTTTCGAAGTTACAACAAGCTATGAAGCTGACTATTATTCGGGGTGAGAACATTGGCTGAATACAAATTGCTTGTTTCAGTTCAAATAATCAAATTCTTACTTTTCGGATGTTTATAATTTTCAGATGGCTATAATTACGGGATGTCGATGATTTTTAAGAAAACTTCAAATAAATTTTACCTGAACCAGTGATCTTATCTTTGGCTAAGCATCTGTTGATACGATTAGACGATTAGGTAGCAAAGTATAATGTTCTGTGACTGAGAATCGTAGTCGTTGTGTTTCCGATTAATATCGCGCGTGTAACTGTATATATAGTTTTTTCCTCAAGGTACATTAAAACATCTAGATATCATAAGCACACTGTCTTCGGTAAATTTATTTTTACTTCTCAAGTGACTGCAAATAGTGAGTCATTTAAGGTGATAGGACAAATACTTCTAAACTCTTTCGTGGAGATTGGGACATATTTACTTTTTTCGACTAGGAGACGATTTCCTTGCCAAGAATGTTCTCAGGATATCTACTCTTACTTTTTAATTCAAAGATAACGTCAAGTTGTCCACTAAGTTAGTAGGTAAAGGGGATTACCTTCAGTGGAAACTATTTAAGGAAGCTAATCAGCATTAGGTAATGCGTCAAAGAAGTAAGCAGCATGCGTTGATTGTGTCTAGAAGATTGGACGTTGTATAACTGATCAAATCGTAGTTCTTACGTGCTAGTTAGTCTCATAAATAATGAACGTACCGTACAAGCGTTTACTTTGATTTGCACGCCTAACTAATAATCGTTATGCCTGCATATGGGATACAATGTACTGCTTTCTTCCTGAGAAATAAGAATACAGCTATTTGACAACCCAACACTCAGTTTGAGTTTCAGCAAGCTTATTTAACAAAATGTGCCTAGGCACTAAGTCGAAAGCAGATGCGTAATCTAGGAAGGTGCAGCGAACAAGTTTATCCCCTTTATCTAAACTGGAGACAATGTTATGGTGCAAGACTGCAGCTGCATCTAAAGTACTTCCACTGTGTTTATAGGTGAGTTGTTTGGGATCGTTAAAGGCTTTTAGTGAGGGCTCAAGATTAAGTAAGAGTAACTTCTCCATAGTTTTTAGAAAAGGATAGGTAATGGCAATAGCTCTAAATTTAACACATGTTTTACTAGATGACTTAGGTATAAGAACAATTTTCATGTCCTTCCAAACGGCTGGTACTACATTTTTGGAAAAATAATCTTCAAGTATGTCAATCAGAGGATGACATAGGATATCTGCACATTTTTTAAGAATAAGCCTAGGCAAACCATCTGGGTCACTAAAGAGTTCAGTGACTAGATGCATTTTAGAACATCATTTGTATTGAAACCAGGGAAGCAGGTTTCATTAACACTTGTGACACCAGAAAGCTTGGCATTTGTGGGAGAATGTGTGAAAAACTTTTTACTGTACACACATCATATGAATAGGGAGTACTGTTGTAATACTGGTTATAATTAGATGCATAAAGCCGTAAGTTATTTAATATCCATAAAGTATCAATGCAAATACTTCAGTTATTGATCATAAAAATGATGGATATTAGATATTATCACATGATTCAACGGCATACTGCAAATAAGTAAAATTTGTTTCTTAGCACATTGTCAATTGAACAGTCTATTTGGTTATGCCACTACATATTAACAGATTAATGGAGTTGGTATCAATCCTAAGTTGCCACATTTACTTGTACTACATACTTGGAAATTAACAGTATACGGACTTGCGACTGCCTAAATAGGGCGACTTTAGAGTGTCGAGCAGTACAGAAATAGTATTCATCTTGCCAAATCCCACTTTGATAGAGCTATTAGCATTAAATAGCGAAACGTCAGTAAAAACAATATCATTTTGTTTTTCCTTCATTGGGAAATACAAAAACTTTATTGTAATAAATCCTACTTGGTTTTTAAAATGTGCTATTTTATAGAAACAGACGCGAAATCACATGGATGACTCAAGTAACAGTCTCATAATACTATAGTAAGTCTCCATCCCGCTGAATAAGCTTACCATGCATTAATCCTAATTTTAATATACAGAAGACCAATAGTTCAGCGAAGAGTCTCTTTTCGACGGAATCACTTTCATAGCTGTACAATCGCAAATATGTATGGTTGTTTTGTATGTGTGTATATTAAATTTGCCAAACGAAAATACACTTAATAAGTTCAGATGAATTGGATGTTGTTATAAGAGAATAGTAACAAAAGTGATGAGTTTTCACAAAAGGTTGTTAAATTGGAGTTACGTAATAACATGAATACTTGGATAAAAGAGATGTGCTCAGGGTGTACATGGAAACAAAATAACATACGGAATTACCCATGAGTTTTAAAGGAACACGAGAGTTTTAGGTAGTTAGAAAAATAAGCACACAAGCAAAAGTTAGGTCAAATCATACATACAATCAAAAGTTAAGCCAAATCAACAGAGTTGTTACCGTGGTAGTAGAAGTGGTTGAATAATTTTATTTTGTATGCATAGTTCTTGTTCTTCTAAATGAATGGCTAGGGCTTTTGTCATGCAAAGAAGATGGAAATGTATTGTCTTTCGCAGGTTGCCCTTCACATATTACAAAAGCACACAGTATAGCGACGCATTGAAGAAGTTCGAGAGAAGCAGAAATTACGAGTATATTAAACATTTCATCAATTCACAAATGAAAATTCTGATGAAGGGTATTAGCGTTTGTTTGACTGATTGGCATTTAATATTCCACAACCTCCGTACACCTTAAAAAATAAACAACATGAGGTTATAAAAGCTAATTCTATATATTAGCGTGTAATATGAACACACTGATTCTGTTAATACTAAACAAAATTCCTATGCAGATAAAAGTATTTGTAGTCCACAGCTGGTCTTTATATTGACGCCGTATGTATAGATAGACCTCATAAGTTTTCTAGTATTAGAGGATTATATGCAAGTTTCAAGATAGTCTCTGAAAGATCATACTGCTGCGGCATCATTCTCTTATGAAGATTACTTGCAGATCAACTTCACACTAAAAACGTTTACTTTAGAGGAAGCATTGCAAAGGTGTTACTTGGAAATTAATCCATAACCTCAATAATGCCTAGTAAATATGGCTTTGTGAATCCCATAGAAATTACATTCTCATATTTAGGAAACCATAGTCATCAAATATGAGCTGAACATGCCTCAACTCTAAACAGCTGTGCACAGTGTAGACAACATGGTGAAACACTTAAAATACCTGTTGTGTTGATGAGGATAACAGTGTCACATGAAGCAACCTAGATATTCAATCGTGATACTACATATGTACTGCTTCATGTAAATGGAAATTTCAGGAGGAATTCATCTCCACCACTGGTGATAATATATATTTCCTATCTATGTAGGACACACCAGTTGTACAAGCATGGATAAGTATTATTTAAATTACATGAATTTGATTTATAGTGAAATTACATGGTTGCTGTCCTCTATGACATCAGTTAGTGAGTACATTCTGATGGTTAGTCGTTCAATGGAGCACATAAAGAAATATAGAAATATTGTCTTCGTATTAACAAAAAAACCCAAGTATGTGTCGGATAAATTACAAATATTTGGGAAAAAAATAAAGCTTGAAGTCAATTCCTCCATATAACTTTGTTGTATGCGGCATCGTATATTGTTTTATGTTCAAATTGGGTATTAATTTAAAACGAGTGATTTATTTTTATGATTTTGACATCATTTTTATTGCAAGTAATACCAGATGTGAATTCAACTGAATGCAGATTAATATTGGTCATTGTCAGTCAGATTTGTTTTACTGCACTCAAGCCACCCATAGCCCGCCATTTGTCATAGCATGGTTGTTCCGTACGAGTAAGTTGATGAACACGTAGAAAGCTGTATAAAAACCATTTTAGATCGTTGACAGTGCTTGTATAAGATGCTGTACAGCGTCTTGTTATGGTGACAGTGGATTTCATCAAGGGTGCTGAGCCATTACTAGC